TGTAGAACTCAGCTGTGTATCCATCTGGTCCTGGGCTTTTCTTAGTTGGTAGGCTTCTGATGGCATCCTCTATTTCCCTTTTACCAAGTGGAAAATAAAGAGCTGGGAAGATAATAAGTCATGGTTCAATCAGAGTGTTTTTGTTTAGATGTGGTATCCCCCAAAAGCTCACAGGTAAGACAATGCTTTAACCTGATCAATGGGTTGATCGCTGATGGGATTAACTGAGTGGTAACTGGAGGGGGTGGGGTGTGCTGGAGGAAATGGTTCACTAGGGGTGTGGCTATGGGGTACATATTTTGTGTCTGGAAAGTGGAGTCTCTCTTTCTGTCTCTGCTTTCTGATCACCATAATGTGATCTGCTTCCCTCTGCCATATTCTCTTGCCATGATGTTCAGCCTCACCTCGAACCCTGAGGAATGGAGCCAGCCTTCTATGGACTAAGACCTCTGAAACCATGAACCCTCAAATAAACCTTTCCTCCTCTCCAGTTGTTCTGGTCAGGTCCTTTAGTCATAGCAGTGGAAAAGCTAACTAAAACACAGAGAAATAGAACCATACATATATATGCACATATACAGAAACATACATGATTTGTTATAGGATTTGATCTCATGCAACCATACAAGTTATTAAGTAGCACTTGTAAGATTGTTCCATCTCATTCTGGAGTTCACAGGGCAGGAAATTGGGGAGGACAGATGGATATAAATTAACTGGAATCTACCAGCATGAATTGACACCCATGTGGACAGACTGAAACTCATGTCAGATCATGCTGCATCTGGCATGAATGGTCTGAATGCCCTGAGGAAAGCTAGCACCCTCTGTTACACAGCAACAACCAAACACAGGTCAGTGGTCAGAGAAACTGAAAGTGGTTCCAGAGGAAAGTGGAGCAGTTGCCAGTCTGACTACTACCCCAGCCAAAAGGATGAGCCAGCAGACAAGTGACATCTGTATGAATTATAGGTGGCCTCTGCTTCATTCCCACTCTTCAAATTAAAAAAAAAAAAAAAAGTCTTTTGTGGCCCACTCCAACAGGAAACCTACAGGTAAAGAACGTGAAATTCAGGGCTGGGGTTGTAGCTCAGTGGTAGAACACTAGCCTCGTGTGTATGAGACTCTGGGTTCAATCCTCAGCACCACATAAGAAATAAATAAATAATCAAATAAAATAAAGTTATTGTATCTATCTACAACTAAATAGTTTTTTTTCAAAAAAAGAATGTGAAATTCTGGAAAAGATAATTCACCATAGGCAAGTTGATACATTACAAAACTACCACAGAGCACTTAAACTCTACTCCTAGCAGTTTTCAAGTTGTCACGCACTATAGTCACCATATTATATGAGATCTCTTTTTTTAATACCTTTATTTTATTTATATGTTTTTATGTGGTGCTGAGAATTAAACCCAGCACCTCACATGTGCTAGGTGAGCGCTCTACTACTGAGCCACAAACCCAGCCCCAAGAGATCTCTTTTTATTATTCCTAACTAAAATTTTGAATCCTTTGACTAGCATCTCTCCAATCCTTCTTCCTTGGCAACTGACTTCTTTGGTTATCAGGCAAATACAAGCAAAACCACAAGGAGATATCATTATTCATCTATCAAAATGGATAGAATTAAGACTGTCAACATCAAATGTTGCTCTAACATAATTAATTCAAGTGTAAAATGGTACAATCACTTTGGTAAATAATCTGACAATTTCTTATAAAATCAAATATACATCTAACTTAAGACCCAGCAATTCTATTCCTAGGTATTTACCTGAGAAAAATAAAAACATATGTCCCTCCTATATATATATACACACACACAAAAAAAAAAAAAAAAAAAAAACTGTACGAGAATGCACATAGCAGCTTTACTCATAATTGTTCAAATCTTGGAGTAACTCAAGAGTCCATCAAGAAGAAAATGGATAAGCCAAATGTGGGATATTCATAATAGTAATAAAAATAATAGTAATAAAAAGGAAGAACTAGTGATTCACACAACATCACAGATATATGTCAAATATGCTGAGAGGGGACTTGCATTAGATTACTCACTGTGTGATTCCACAAAGATCAAAAGCACCACATGATAAAAAAAAAAAAAAATTTGAACAGTGATTGCCCAAAAGCAGAAGACTGGATTGAGGGACAGTGGGAAGGAGGTGATATAGAAACACCATGAAGAGGCAAGACATTACTAGGGTGAAGGTAATATACTGTATCTTAAAAGAAATTTAGGTTACACAGAATATATATTTTTCAAACATATATATATGATTTATGCATTTAATTTTCTATAAATTTTACCAAAAAAGAAAAACTCTATAAATAAATATTAGATTCTAGGCAATAATATATATGCTGTAGTATTTAATGGAATATGTATTGATATGTGAAATGTGCTTTGAAATATATTAAAAGAATAAGATGATAAATTGTAAGAGAAAAAAATAGAAGAATGCAAACAAAATGTTAATGGCAGTATCTAGATGGAAGTGTATGAGCTCACTAAAGAAATTTGAAAAGGAATTTCAACTCTGCTTATACCTTTTGATTACGTAAGTGAACAATCTTGGCTTTTACACCCATAAAATCAGCCATTAAGAAATTCAGCATTCTCAGTAAACCAATGACTAACTGACATTTTATTTATTGTAAATTGACTAGCAACACATAGAAAAGATATGCTAACTGGAAGAAAGAAAAGTTCAATAAAGTCATTTATAAATACATGGTATTGGGCTGGGGTTGTGGCTCAGTGGTAAAGCACTTGCCATGCATACGTGGGGCACTAGGTTTGATCCTCAGCACCACATAAATTACATAAAGGTATCATGTCCATCTACAACTAAAAATTATAAACAAATAAATAGATACATGGTATTAGTAGTAGTTTTTCAGAAAATGAAGATCATATCTGATATAAATAGCTTGTGCTTTCCCAAGGTTTTCTGAACCACCCCTTCCCATCTGGCAATAGTTTTCCTTCAAAATCCCCTTCTACCACTTGGAGACATTTCATTTTCAGCATCAATGAAAAAGAAATCTACTATGCTCCACTGCACATCACAGTAACCAATGTTAAAAAATTTATCGTTAAAAAATTTGGAAACTATATCCATAATTAAATGGTTATGGGAGAACCTCATAATGTTCAAGAGGCTATGACAGTTTAAGCAAAATAAAGGAAAACATTAACTAACTTTTCTAAACCGTCAAAATGGTTTGGATTTGGTCTCAATTTTGGATGAACATCAGCCAAAACAATTTGACCAATGGAAACCTAAATCAAAATACATAATTGTTAATATTTATATACTTCCAAAACAGCAGCTAAGAAAAAACAGTTACCATTAACAAGCATTTCTGTAGATTAAACAGGCACCTTTAGAGTGGGTTTCAGCTCTGGGAAACAAACCAAAGAACAAACAGAAACATTATAAAGATAATGGAACTCTAAGAGCAAAGATTTCAGGGGATGACAGTCTCTTTATAAATATGCTAAGAGATCATCTGCCTAAAAGATTTAGGTAGCCTCCAGATGAATCAGTAGCTATCTACCTCTGATAAAATACACTGAAGTGAAATGGACAAACTATAGAATAATGTATATTCCTAAAACAAACTAAAAGATACAGAGAATTGAATGTTTCTATAGTCACTAAAGAAAGTAAATTAATCATTAAAAGACAAACTCCCACTAAGTAAACATAAAGCCCAAATAGTTTAATAGTAGGAAAAAATATAAAGAATAAATCTTCCCACTCAGTTCATTTATGAAGTTAGTAGAATATTGATTTACAAGAGGAAATTATAGATGAGTCTCACACATAATAAATGTAAAATGTCCTAAATCAAATATTGCCATATTGAATATAATTAAAAGGTTTGTTTCAAAACACATGGTTAAATTAACATTGGAGAAATCTACCAACTTAGCATATTAAAGACTGAAGGAGAAAATGATCATCTCAACAATATATGCAGAAAAAGCATTTAATAAGATTGAAAAACAATGCATAATAAAAAATCTATTTGTAATCCAGAAATAGAACACCCTTCACCTTATAAAAAGTGTCTGTAATAAGCCTTTGCAAACATCATGCTCAATGGTGAGACATTGAAATCATTCTGTCAGTTCATGAACACAACAGCGTTATCTCCATTCCCAACCCATACTGCAAGTTTTGGCCAAAGCTGTATGAACATAGGCGTGCGCACACACACACACAATATAAACAAACTTACAAGGAAGAAATACAATATCATTGTTTTATTATCAATATTAATTGTCTTCATAGAAAACACCAAAGTATCTAAATTTTATAACTATTAAAGAATTTAGAAAGTTTTTTCTATATTAGATCACTAATACAAAAGCTAACTGCATTTGTGCATACCAGCAATAATGTTGGAAAAAGTAGTTTTAAAAAAGATACTATTTAGTTAAATAATTTGACTTCTCTCCAAAAATGAATCTATAAAACTAATGAAATTACCTTGAAATCCCATCAAATTTTCTCCCAGAAGTTGAAAAGCTGATTTTAAGATATATAAGGAAAAGAAATGTTCAAGAGTAGCCAAGGAACTGCTGTTGAAATAAAACTGGTGGGTAAGTAGAGGGCTGAGAAAACTTACCTTCAGATATTAAAAATATAAAGTTATATTAATTAAAACTGTAAAATGATACTGGAATAAAGAGTTCAGAAAGGCGCACACACACACACACACACACACAGAAACCTGTTGTACTGCACAGGTGCCATAGCAGATCAGCAGAGAAAGGATGATTCAATTAAGAAATATGTAAGAATATTGGAAAAGTAAAATTCTACTTCTAAGATCATACACAAAATTCCAGATAAATTAAAAATTTAAGTGTAAAAATAAAAATATTTTAACTTTTAAAAGAAAATATATGGGAATATGCTAATAATCTCAAAGTTGGGAAAGATTTCTAAAAAAATAACACATTAAAAAAGTACTAATCATAAAGAAAAAATATTGAACATTAAAAATTAATCAATTTGGAACACCCAAAAATACTACAAGAAGGCTGAGAAGACAAGACAAAAACCTAAGAGAAAATATTTGTACCACAGAGGGCTAACAAATAATTAACAACCAAAATATTATATAAAGAATTCCCATAAATCAATTAGAAAAAGACAATCCAATAGAAAATGGACAGAGAGAAAAGGTATTTTACATTAAATGGAAAGATAAATGGCTCACAGACATATGGAAAGGCACTCAACCTCTTTGGTAGTTAGAGAAATAAAAATTAAAAGGGAAGGAAGATACCTAAGCATTGGCTAGGACATAGAAGAATGGGACTCCTCAGATCCTGCTGCTGGGACCATAAACCGATTACTACTCTTCTGGAAAATATTTTGGCATTAGTAAAACTGAATATATGCATACTCCAGGGTCCAAAAATCCCATACTTTGGAATATACCCTAAAAAAATCTTAGATGTATATACCAGAAAACATATGAGAATATATTCTCTTACTCACTGGAATCAAAAGTAGACATTAATTCTGAAATGTATGATTAAAAATCTTATAACATCCAAAATTAACATTTATGGAGCACATAAATATTCTTTACCAGGACATCTTAATCATTTACTGCTAAATCCACTAATAAATATCAGCGTTATCCTTTTGTAAACATAGAGACAAAACACATCTGACAGGCCAGTTTTGATGAAGCATGAATGCCTTTTTGTTCATACTGACAAGTTTATGTCATTTAAACACCAAAGACAACATCAAGTGTTTATCAAAGAAAATCCCTTCTGAAGATTATTTCAATTTAATCCAAATTAAAAGAAAATAAAACTTTTATCCTTATCCTTGAGTGAAGTAACTTGAGTTTTAATATCTTAATCAGAAAATACACTGAAGGAAACAATAATATTTGAAAGAGCCTGATGTCCTGTGGTCTTCCTTAATAACTACCCATTTTCAAGAGACTATAATCTACTTCACAGAAAGCCTTTTACCAAGGATCTTAATCAGATTCTCAGAAAAGTCACACTTAAAATAAACAATATGCCACTAGATCCAAAACAATGTAGGTATTAGCAGCTATACAAAAGCCTCTATCTGATGAGTCATGTCTAAAATGATGAAAGTGTAAGTCTTTGAAGTGCTTTCTATTCAACCTGGAAAATATATAAAGGTAGGATTTAGCAAGCAGGTTGACTGGGAAACATCCTTGTTTGTCTTTATGCAAACATCAAACTAAGGATGGCAAAAATGAGTCTCTCTTCCTATATATTAATATTAACCTTTTCTCTGTTTTCTCAAGGTATTTTACTTTCAGCTTCCAAGTCCATAAGAAATTTAGAAGATGACATGGTGTTTAATACATTTCGGATGGGGAAAGCCTTTCAGAAGGAAGATACTGCAGAAAGATCAGTTGTTGCCCCTTCTCTGGAACAGTATAAAAATGATGAGAACAGTTTCATGAATGATGAGGAAAACAAAAATTCAAAGGTGAGTAGCTATGTGACTTGTCTTTTATTGTAACAGAAATGTAAATTATTTTTTTAAATCTTCTGAAAAGAAAAATTGACATTGTTATTTAATAAATAGAAATATATGAAAATAGTGACAATATGCATTAGTAGGATAACTGATGACAATTCATGTAAAACAGGTGGCTCTCTCATCCCAGAGAATATCTTTTATACAAAAGTTTTTTCCACCCCGACTAAACTTGTATCTAAGCTGTTTTTAAGGAGTCAAAACTAGTGCAGAACATCTTTAAGTTGATCAATAAGGGCATTAAACAATAGTATCATTGCTCCATTCCAAAGACAGCTAAAACACAAATTTTCTCTTCACAGAACACAGGCTCCAAACATAATTTTGTGAGTCATGGTCTGCCACTGAATCTGGCTATAAAGCCTTATCTTGCATTAAAGGGATCTGTAGCTTTTCCAGCTGAGAATGGAGTTCAGAATACTGAATCAACACAAGAAAAGAGAGAAATTGGGGATGAAGAAAACTCAGCTAAGTTTCCAATAGGAAGGAGAGATTTTGACAGTGAGTAGTCTTTTAAAATTCAGTTCTTACATCTTAATACCATAAAAAGACCTCTGAATTTAACTGAATTTGGATCTCAATATAACAAAATCAAATAAGACTGATGTTCAATTCCAGTTGACATTAAGTGACTGTCAAAAATGTGGGAATAAGAAGCATGTAGGTATGATAATTTTGGTTTACTCAGAATTAGTTATAATAGATCCATTCTTGTTATTGTTATTATTATTTCTTAGTTCTGTGTGATGATTGTAGTACTTTGAGTAATTTAAACTATTTTATTCTTCCTTCAGTGCTCAGGTGCATGCTGGGGAGAGTCTACCGGCCTTGTTGGCAAGTCTGATACCTGTTGGTTCACGTCATCTTTGGGGAAGAAAACAAAACCATTTCATTGCCAGTGGGAAGAAAACCCTTAATGTTCCTATAACTTGTATATTATTTTAAATGTCTGCTTTAAAAGAAAGTAGTGTTAAGACATACCAATAATCTAAATGATGTGCTTTTTCTGTATATTAAACTTTGTGAAAATTCTGCATAATTATGACTCAGTGGTGTTTTTAAACAATGCTTACCACATGAACCTTACGTTCACTTCAAAGAAAAATTTGAAAGCATCACAATTGACACCTTGAGCTTTTATAAATTAAACATGTGACTTTGGTGTACAGCTTTCCATATGCATAAATCTAAAACACATAAAAGACACAATCATAGTCTAAAAAATTGAGTTAACTTTGTCTGGCCAGTGATGAATTTGGCCTTGGAAGTACACTTTTTGCCTTTTGCTACTTTGGCTACTTCGCTATCCAATTTATTCTGTGAATCGTTTGATGTTTTAGGTTTCTTAACATTTTTATGTTGAGGTGGTTCATTTCTGTTATCACAGAGAATATTTTCACCGTCCAAATCCACCTGTTTCCTTTTTGAGCTTTTATTTCCTGTCTGGCCACTTGATTTTCTTGATACTTTGTCATTTTCACTTCTGTCCAGATGAACATTTCCAGAACTTGTTGCAATTGTTGATTTTCCAACAGATGATTTTATACCCTCTGTTATGCAAGATGAAAAGGGGAACGAAATCATATAATAATTCATATTATAACTTGTGACAATTTTAAAATAAATTTTAAAAATGGCTAAAGAATATTCAAAAATTTATGATTTACAATAAAATAATGCTAACCAATTAAATAATTAACAAACATAAGTACATTATAACATTATTTTTCATTCTGCCATACCACTTCTCATCCCTATCAATAAATATTTGTTTGAATTTATGACATTTAATACTTAAGTAAATTATATGAATTATTTTTTTAATACATTTAGTTAAATCAAACTGTCCTATTCCTTTCCATAAATTTGTACTTAGATTTAACCTCTTAAATAAACTCAGGCCTTAAAAAACATAAGCCTTTACATTTCATAGCACTGTGCAAAAAATAATCTGGGTTTATATAAATTAAAACCAATTGGCATATTAGAATCAAATTGTTATTTATTTGTTCAAATAAAGTCAATCACCAGCAAGGTCGTTTTCCATATGAAGAACACATAAAGGTTCTGATGCAGAATTCATGTTATTCCATTTATCGTTGCTTATCATGTAGTCATCTTTATAAGTACAAGCAAACTGCGATCTAATTAATGTCTGAGTCATCTGGTAACAGAAAAAAGAAAAAAAATACACAATTTATACTTTATGTTTTTATCTAGATAAACACACATTCTATAATGGTTGAGGTATAAAAACATTTCCCTTAAAAATTCTGTTATTTGGGTCTGGGGTTGTGGCTCAGCAGTAGAGCACTCACCTAGCACATGTGAGGCACTGGGTTCAATTCTTATACCACATAAAAATAAATAAAATAAAGGTATTGTGTCCAACTACAACTATACATGTTTTTTTTTTTAATTCTGTTATTCATTGGAAACTTTTGACCTTTTATGTTTTATAATTTGCAAACTCACTCTTTGCCATGGTTTGCATTTTTTTTCTTTCAGCAATATTAGCTTTATGTATATTTCTTTTTTTTTTTTTTAAATACTTGTTAAAAAATCAACTTTAGACTCTTCAGAGGTTTTTGTTACACATTCCTGTGTCTGGGCTGCTGCTTTGGAGAGTGAATTTTATTATAAGTGAAAAGAATACTCATATGCATAATCATAGAAAATACAAGTTCTACATTCTAAGAAATAGAGCACAATTCTTTTGGAAAGACAACATATGGAATTCAAAGTAAAGAAATTGAGGAAGGGAGAAATGATAAAACAAAAAAGAGAAATAAGAGAGGTCAAAAGAAGAACAGAAAATAAAAGAGCATGAAAAAAGAAATGGGGAAAGGCATTATCTCGTTTAAAATTTGTATGTGTAGGAAAACAAGAAAGATGATCAAAATGTATCATTCTAAGAAGATTCAACCAATATTTTAATAGTTAAAAATTCAAAATATTGGGGCTGGGATTGTGGCTCAGCGGTAGAGCGCTTGCCTAGCATGGGCGGGACCCAGGTTTGATCCTCAGCATCACATAAAAATAAAGGCATTGTGTTGTGTCCATCTACACCTAAAAAATAAATTTAAAAAAATTTCAAAATATGTTCTTGCATCTATCAGACATAAAATAGGAACTCCTAACTTTCTTCATAATTTGGAGAAAAATTAGAAAGATTCAATTAAGAATTAGCTTTGAAAATGAAGAAACTTTAAGAATTAAAATAAAATTTAAGAATTCAAAAGGACATAGCAAAAAAAGTAGTTTCAGAAATGTATTCTGCAAACATAAAACCACTGGGCTGTTTTAAAGATAGGAATTAATTTCAGAACAAAGTAGCCTATATATGTAATACAAATTTCAAAATTTAAGTTTTTCTGTAACCACTCAGTTATAATGGGGAGATTTCTCCAAATAATTAGAAATCATTTCAAATCCTAAAAACACTTCAAACTATAATAAATACAGTATTCTCAATATTATTTATTGATAATAAATGACTATAAAGTAGATTTATATATACAGCATATTATATTCAATAATTTATAGTATGTTATATAATCAAAGACATCAGTGTATCATTCTACTCAGATGTTGCAAAGATAATGGCAATAAAACCACTGACTATGGTTTAAGAAATTAGAACAGTCTTCTGTTCGGCTGTTTCATAAAGGCAAATTTTGTTAGGATAATAAATTTTCTATTTTTCTGTCCAGTAGGTTTGGGAGAACCTCTTTTTCCCAGATCACTAAAAATTATGTTTTATGTGCTTTAATGAGGCATTAGACAACTGTTGTCGTCTTCCACTTACCCACAAAAATTGCACACAAAAAATGTACAAGATCAAAAAGTTATGTTTTTTAAGAAAGCAAACTAGAGTTGGCTGCTGATAATGAATGGGTTTATGAACACAACTCCTGTTATATTATTCCAACCACAAGATTTCCTATAGTACAATAGAAAGTTTTAGGTAGCTCTTTTTGGACATAACCCTATAAATATAGAATTAAAACAAATTATAAAGCTATTAAAATAAGTTTTATGAAAAAACACACTCTATATTATATCATATCATATCATTGCTAAGTAACATTATCTGTGAACTTTTATTTCCATCTGCAAGACCAGAACTAATCATGGACATTATCTTTTCACATACTTTTTTCATTTCACCAGTTACTGCTTTATAGAGAATTATAAACTATTCCTTACAAAGAGTTACAAAAAGTATGATAAGACCTTACAGGCAAAGAGGTGCTAAGTGACTGTCTTGGATCACTCTCTCAGTACCTGCTGAGCAAAGGCACCTATAGGTACCTTCTTCCCACTACAAAATCTTCATCAGCAACACCCATAAAACACTCTAAATAAAAATACAATAATTATATTATTTACTACAGACAACTGATATTTTCTCAATCTCATGTTTAGCATAAACAGAAATTTCTTCAGCAAGCTTTGTTACTTTTATTAATTTATTTATTAATATACAATCTAAGTAAAAAAATATTTGTTTTCTGTGTACATACAGTCGAAATTGGTGCTACAACTACCTGGATTTCCTCTCTTCAGTTCCCCTGAAGAGTAATGCTGGAGCCCTTAGTGACCATAGGACAGTTCTAGAAAACCACAGTTATGAGGCAACAGATTCTTAAAGTACAGAACAGGTTCAAATGAGGAAAAAAAATAATCACTTTATGAAAAACATCAATTATAAACTTTATTATGAAAAACAGCAATTATAAATATATCAAGATATGAGAAGGAAAACAATAGCTCTATGGTGGTATTGGAAAAATTGCATCCAAAAGAAATAATTGAGAGTAGTTATACTAAGGGTTTTTCTTCTTTCTTATAAAAAGTTATACATAGAGAGATTTACTTTTCTCTGTCCTTTACAAAATTTTTTTTTAAATCAGTTACTGTTTATTAAGTTCTTTATGTGGTAAGAACACAGTATACAAAAGAGATAATGAGAATGGCTCTTATTAAGTTCCAGCTTTGCAACAGGCACACAGTATACAAAGGAGGTAACTAGGATGTCTTCTATAATTACAAAGACATTCTATTTATAAAATTTGCTGTTGACATACGGCTGGAAGGAATAAAAAACTGGATAACATACTCAAGATTGAAAAGATTCAGAAGTCTAGAAACCATAAGTAGAAAATAATAAGATGAAAATGGGTGGGGATAAACAAAGTCCTATATTTAGTCCAAAAATATCAATTACATATGTACAGGATGAGGAGAACTTGACTTAAAAACTATGTAGGAAAAAGAACTACAGATTTTACGTGATCATGAACTTAACTGAAGTCAACAATGTGATGTCCAGCTAACAAAGCACCACAGAAAGACAAAATGATAGTGGTGGGGGGAGCACCTGATTTGTAGTCAAAAGGCCCAGCTTCTAACACTGGCCCTATTACTTATTAGATAGAAATCTTGGATAAGCCATTATACCTCTCACTTTTCCACACAAATAAAATAACACCTCACAGTATTGCCAGAATTATATGAAGTAAAAAACATGGATAGACTATATAACTCTAAGTTATAATGAAGATACTGTATAGTTATTATTGTAGTAACATATATGAAATAGGCATTCCTACAAAATAAGATTTGTTGAATTACATCTCCCAGGTCCAGGCTAATTCTAAAACGAACCTAAGAATGCAGCTAAAAAAAGAACTTATAATCAGTTTTTTTCATTTTAAATTTTAAAACAATGCAAGCTACATGGGCTTGTATTTATAACTTAAAAGAGATTGCTTTTTCTTTGTTCATAAAAGTTGGATTTTTCTGCATAAGATTAGTGGCCACATAGAATTAAGATTACTTCCTGTGGCAAATCTTCCAAATCTCTCTGTGTATTTGATTTGGAATCACGAATAAGCAAAACAATTCCCTCTTGAAAGTGCTTTTGAAGTACTAAACAACTAAGAATAATGTCCAGATTCATACATGGCTGTTAAAATCATTTTATGTTCAAGTCACATGAGAAAAACGGATTGAAAGTTTTCCTTTGTAGAGCGATTTCCCCCCTTTGGAAAGATTTCTATCCACAGTAAAATTGCAATGAACTTCAAACTTGCCAAGAATTGAAAAGTCTTTTTGCCACAAGCTCTTTTTAAATTGAAATTATTAGTAGGTTCCCAGTTTGAGGAAAATAGTACTTCACATAGGAAAGCCTGACTCCAGTTAAATTAAGATGAATGAGTCAAAACACAGAAAAGTCATAGCCATTCTGAATTAGCTGCAGTATTAAGAAAATAGAAGTTCTAACCTCTACCATACCAACACGTAGATTCTCAAGTTTGAAAATGGACATTATTCTCAACATACCTATTAACTGAAATAAATATTCAAATTTATCTTTTGATTCTTACATGATCACATTTTCAAAAGCAGAGATTTGGCAACTTTGATGGCATATGAATTTGTACATAATTCAAAACATTCATTCTTTATCTGTCAACTTTCATTTACTTTGCTAAATAGCCAAAAAAAAATCCTGACCTAAATAGTAACATTATCTTTTTGTGACCCTTCATTATAGTTATGCTGCCTCTATTTACTCTTTGGAGATAGCATAAACCTAAAATCTGACACCTGAATACAAATCCCTGCTCTCTTACTTACTAGCTACATGGGAAAACAATGCCTTCTAGAGTTGAGCAATGATCATCAACACAAGATGTCCCAAGACACTTAGTAGATACTCAATAAAATCCAACTTCATTCATTTACCAAAACAAATTCAGTCTTAGTCTAATACAAACATCCCTTCTTCACTCTAATAAATGATGCTTCTCATTCCCTTAGAGTCTTTGCTCAATATCATCTTGTCAAGGAGACCTCTATTTATCATCCTACATAAAATCAGAACACATGCAAAGAGCATTTTCTCCTTAGCCCTCTCCCCATCGCACTGATAGCCTTCTAACATACCATAAAATCTACTTGTTTGTTTTGATTATTATCTGCTTTCCTCAGCTAAAATATAAACTCCATAAAGAGTAAAACCTTTAAAGTTTGGCAATTGGTGGCCCCTCTGGTCCTCTCACCACCTTGTGGTGTATCCCACCACGAAACCTCAGACATGCCCACCAGGAGACCAGACACCCCTCTTAAGTCCTGCACCAGGTTCCTGGAATCTCTGGGCACTGGATGACATTGGCCTCTTCCTCCAGGTTTAAGAGCCGACTGTTATGACAAGGATGATGGGGAGCAGGGTACCCACAACAAGACTTCTGATGCTATGTTCCTTCAAGTATGAAACAAAGCTAGGTGTGAAGAGGGCATAGCAGTAGGCCTAGGCTAAGGCCTTCCCTTTAGTTCTTTTACCTCAGCTGCACAAATATGTGGAGAAGCTTTGTCCACCATAGCAGGGTGTTTTGTCTGCCCTGTTCACAGTTATGTCATCTCCAGTGTCCAGCATCAAGTCTGCTATACAGGAGGTGCTGAGGGTTGGCTGAATGAATTCATGAATGAAGAAGTAAAACTAAGATCATAACAAGGGTATGCAAGAAGCCATGAGGGAATAAAAAACATGAGTAAGCAAAAGCTCAGAGTTAGAAAGGCATATACAGAATAGACTCTGCTCTCTTCAACAGAGACAGAGGCAGCCACATCACACACACTGTAACTCACGTTCATCCTCTGGACCTGTCCCTCCTCCAGGCTTGTGGGGATGTCTACAGCCTCTGGCCTGGGAGTCTGGGGGTTTGGGTCTGTTTTTCAGAGGTTCTCACACCCTGCTCTCTGACCTCCTACCCTAGTTCATTTTCAAATGTTCTAAAAAAATGGAGGGCAGCCATGTGCCTGAGGCAGGTCCCACTCCTCAAGCTGACTCACCTTTTCTTATTTATATGCAGTGTTAAGAAATGAACCCAGTGTCTCACACATGCCAGGAACGTGCGCTACTGCTGAGCCCCAGCCCCAGCCCCAGTCTCCTTTTCCAAATAAGACCACACGTGATTTTAGCCATACCTCCCATAGCTACAAAATCAAGCATATGTGTCCTGGGTAAAAAGCCTTTTAAGACACCCAAAAAGCTTTGTTGGTAGGTTGGTTCCTTTTTTACTTCAGTAGTGTTCCTTTATGTGGGCCAAAGTCAATCATCAGCTCATATCCTACACTAGCAAATAATACTAGGGGAGAAAATAGCCAACATCGATCTGCTCATCTCCCAAAGACTTTATCCTCTCCAGATGTTTAGTTTATTTACACTTCTTTGCTAACATAGCCCTGCTATGTCCTTAAAAATGTGTTTATATGATTATACTACAAATACTTATAACAATATAATAAAGAATTGACAAAATAATTATAGAAAACAACAAAATTCAATGATGTGTTCCATAGGCATTAAGTACTAACAACTACTAATAACCAACAGAAAGACAATAGTTAGTAATAAATTAATGAATTTGAGGTACATAGATGAAATATATTATAATCAAAAGCTTTGGCTGAGCATCTAATCCCAGAGACTCAGGAGGTTGAAGCAGGAGGATTACAAGTTTGAGGCCAGCCTTGTCAATTTAGCTAGACCTATCTCAAAATAAAATAATAAAAGAGGGCTGGGAAAGTGGCTTAAAGCTAAAGCATTCCTGGGTTCAATTGTCAGTACAAAAAAAAGCTTTGCCATTTGGCCCAAGGAGCAGAAAGGGCATACAAACTATAGTTTTCTTTTTAGTTGTGTTTAGATGAATAATTATTTGATGATTTAAGGATAATTGTATATTTTATATAAAAATGTGTTTAAAAAATTAATGATTCTCAGCTTACAACAGTGTCTAACGCATAGTAGATACTCAATAAAAGTATATTATATAATTGAATGAATTAAAACCAAGTTTCTTTAAAAAGAAACAAAGACCAAGAAAATTTTAAATGCTTAAATAAATACATTATTAACTACTTATAGGCACAAATGTTTTATATGAGACAGTTCAGACTAAATAATAATATAAAGAGCTGCTCTAGTCAAGAACAATATAAAATATCCTTCCCATGCTGATCTACAATTGTTTACATTCTGCCATTATATCTTCATTCAGGTACAATTTTAAATTACGTGGTAGTATAGTTGGATCTGGAACGTTTTCCAAAGGCCCATGTGTAAAAGTCTTGGTCCTCAGCTTGGCAATACTGGGAGTAGTGACATAAATGGGGCCTAGTGAGCAGTCTTCAGGTCATTGGGGACATGCCCTTGAAGGAGATAGTAGGACCCTAGCCCCTTCTTCTCCCCTCCTCTCTCTTTCTTCCCTGGTCATGGAGTGAATGCTTTTGTTCTGCCACAGGGTCCCTGCCATTGCCACCCAGTACCCCCACTACAGGCCTAAAAGCAACAGGGCCAATCAATTATGGACTGGAATCTCTGAAATTTTGAGACAGGTAAGCCTTTTTTCTTTACGTATTGATTATTTCATGTATTTGTAATAGTGATAGAAAGCTAGCACACATAGTCTCTCAAGATTCCATTTAAGATATTAGAAATGCAAATGAGAAGCCCATGTCTTATTTATTTTCCCATTCATTCAACAGATACTTAGTCAATATTTGCAATAACAACTGCTTATTTCTTTTCTTCTTGTAGGTCTAGTGAATTAAATAGCCAAAACAGATTAGTTAAGATTGTATAAAAGGAAAATTTCTGTATGTCAATCTCATTACTCATTTTCTAATTCATTCTTACTGGGTCATATGCAATGTATATTTACAATATGCCCCTCAACTTTAAATATTTATTTATTCTAAAAACAAAACAATATCATTTTCATGACAGTACACTAAATTGTACCTTATTTTTTTTCTCTTGCATTGACTTATAGATGCGTTCTCTTAGGGGTTTCACTGATGAGTTATTCACTTGTGTGGGAGAGCTATGGAAAAAAAAGACAAAAACTTATTGCTATGGTTTCAATGTTTATGTCCCTCCAAAATTTATGTTGACACTTAATCCCTAAAACAACAGAGGTGAGACCTACAAAAGTTGAGTGGTGGGACCTATAGAAGGTGATTAGGTCATAAGGGCTCTGCCTTCACAAAGGAATTTAATGTCCTTATCAAAAGGCATAAAAGATCCTGTTTGGCCCCTTTGGCCCCTCCACCTTTTTTGCTACATGAACATGCAGTAAGAAGGTGTCATCTGCAAGGAATAGGCCCTCACCTGTGAATACCAATGAATGTGCTGGCAATTTGAACTTAGATTTCAAGCCTTCAGAATGATGAGAAATAAATATTATTTACAAATGATTCAATGTAAGCTATCTTGTTATATGAATGAAGACTCTCATAAACCAAAGTAATTTACAAGCTAGTTTTCCCTCACTGCTCTACCTAAAAGTGGCTAAAGGATAAAGAACAGCTGAAGCTATATGTTTATAATACTTCGTATAAGTATCCACACCCCAATTTGAGAATCCTAATAATAATTTGCTCAATTAATTCAATAAATATGTCTTGATCTTCTAAATTTATTTCCAAGGCACTATATTATGCCCTTAAAGGGAATAATGCAACCTCTTCAGGGTAAATGTTGATTCATTCATTGACTCTATGTCCAGGTCTAAGGTCTAACTAAGGTCTAACTAAGGGAAATAAGATATCTACATACGTAAAAGTCAAAAGAGTAGGAAAATGAAAAAAAGGAAAACATAGAATTGGAAGGTTAGAGAAGGCAAAATGGAGGAGATCCTGCAGCCTGCTGTGTCAACCTGTATTCCTCAATAAATTAATTCCTTTTTAGCTTAATAGAGCCAAAACCTGAACCTCTTTGACTCAAAGATCATTATTTATATAAGAGTAAAGGGTAGTTTACCCTAAGAAAAAATAGTAATAACCTTACATTGACCTAAATTCATATACTACATTGTGCTTAATTTTATCATTTTGGTGCAGATAATTAAAATTTTACCTTACTATGGACTGTCTGCACAACGACAACTAAAGTGCTAATGTGGAATTCCCTCATAATTGAAACGTGTTTGCCACATGATTAAAGTACAGGAAAATCTCTTTTTAAAATGAACTCAGGAATTTGGTTTAAACAAATTCTACAAATAGAAAATTTTCCCTAAAAAATGATGTAATTTAATCCAACAGAAAATTAAAATTATCCATACTTCTACCTAAAAGCACATTTTGTTAAATAGAAAAAAGGTAAAAAGAGAGACAGAAAAAAGAAAGGATCATTGTCTTTATTCTGCTTTCCGAGATTCCAGCACAGTGTCAGTAAAATATTCCTAAGAGAAATTTCCATTGTTAGGAGGGCATTTTTAAGTAGACTGTGGAAGAATTATATTGTGCCAAGACAGAAGAACTGTCAAGGAAAGATAGTAAGGAAGATAAGATGTAACGAATGAGATAACACACTGAATGAAAACCCATGAAGAAGTCACTCTTTAAAAAGAAGAAAAAAAGATACTGAGGCATGGGAGAGAGCCCCTGAAGCAATCGTGAATGGAAATAAGCAATTTCAGACCTAAAAACAGATTTCTAAAAAGTAGCTCCTATAGAAAACAGAAATGATCAAACAGTAGGATGATTCTATGAAATTTTTCTACAATGTACTAAATTTAAAATTTAAAATGGTTGTTCTAAAAATCATTAAAATTCCTAGAAGTCTATGTTTACTTAATTAAGAATTTACCCACCTATTGAGTAACTGACTTAATTGCTGTTAAAACTAGAGAGTATCTGCTATAGATGGAAATGTATCCCTCCAAAAAAGATATGTTGAAACCTTAATCCCCAGATACAACTGATTTGAAAATAGGGCTTTTAGGAAATAATTATAGTTAAATGAGATCATAAAGGTAAGGTATGATAGGCAAATTCCTAATCTGTGGCCTTAGAAGAAAAGGAAGAGGGCGATCTCTGCACAGGCACCAAGGAAAGGCAATGTGAGCACAAGCAAGAAGGCAATCATCTGTACCCAGAGAGAAAAGCCTTCACCAGAACCTGACAGCTATGGCGTCCCATCACACACTTCCAGCCCAAACAGAAGGCAAGTTTCTGATATTTAAGCCACCCAGTCTATGGCTGTCTATGTCAGAGAGGACTGAGATACCATCAAGGTCTTATTTAGCATATTTTTCTTCATAAGACCAGAAAATGTCAATTCCAATGTATACATGCCTTTTCCTATTCGCAGGGTGAACAGCAGTCCTTAGAGCTCAGACCTTGGGCTTGTTAACTTTGCTTTTGGGGCATATTAATCTCTCTCTCTCCCCCTCCCTCAAGTGTCTAATTCTTCACTAAGTGGAGATACTACTAAAAGGAGTTGTGAGGGCTGAGATGATTTAAGCAAAAGAATTTAGTCACGTTTCTGACACACGGTAAAGCAAATGTGTTCGTAAATCAAAAAACGAGAATAAAAAGCAACACTGAAACTGAAAACACCTGCAATACTCTCACAAAATATTACCTCTTAAATATATAACCTCTTTGCATTTAAATGTTCAATCTCCCTTTAACTTTTGTTTTCTTTCTTCATACTTATTGATAGTTTCCAACCTTCCTACTATAAGCATATATTTCTTTTATAATCAATAAGTGTTTTCTCAAAATTTCCAGAATTAATATTTATACACATATGACTTCCATGGTACTTACGTAAAAAGTGTAAGAATAGAAGTTGCATTACAATGAATCGTGCTTTCGTCACCATATAAAAGCTCTGCTTTGTTTCTGGTAGGAGCACGGGCTGCTTCTTCATCCAAAAGAACTAGTAAAGTTTTCACGGTATCTCTGCCACAGTATGAAGTGTCATGGTTTATGGCATGAGATTTTGGCTAGAACAAAAAGCAATTTTAAATAAATGTAAAAATCGCCGCTACTAGGTTGAGTCAGCCACACTTTTCCATTTCATCTGCCACTCTTCTTCCTCTGTTGTTGAAGTAACAAAACATAAGCTTTGAGAAGTGGCTATAAGACATATTAATGTTTCTCCTCGAAGCCATACTATTATCAATCCTATCCATTTTTAGATGCACAAAAAATATTATCATCAAAGGAAAATATTAGGCTCTGATCAAAATAACATTTGAATCAGAAAAACCCAGCCATTCTCTATCTATATAATCTCAGCCCTAGGAGGTACATCTTCTCTCTTATACCAAAGAGTAAGAAAGTTTTGGAGATCTGAATACTTATCCCCATAGATGGCTGTTAAGATCTAATCAAATGCAAAAGTAAAAAACTAGTTCATTCAATCATCATTGATTAGTATATGGTACATTCCAAGAACTATGCCTTAAGCTAAGCTACAAAGGTGAAAATCACTACCTTCAAAAAACCCACAGCCTTGGGCATATTGATAAGATAAATAAGTAATCAACACATCATATTACAGAATGCTAATTGATATTTCTAATAAGTATACATACAATGGCGCAGAAGCATACAAAACAAAGTGGTCAGTGTACTGTGAAGTCAAGGATGGTGTCAGAGGAAGAGACATACAGCGGTACGAGTGAGCATAGATAGCACTCTTGGAGACTAAGAAGAATGACAAGATGGGGAACAAAAGACTAGGTAGAATGACAAGGCTGGGGAACAAGATACAGGGAGGAAGTAACACAGGATGAGTCTGGAAAAGCTCTGTACACTATGCAAAGAAGTTATAAATCAGTCGGTTACACAGGTAAAATCTCTTGCTTTATCAAGCAAGCAAGTACAATAACATTACTTAGATTTTGAAAAAATCGATGCTGGCAATGTGTAAAATATATTTCAGGATAAGAATATTATCAAATCTGGAGACAGGGTCACAAATTAAAAAGCCAGTTTAGGTATGACAGGTCTGATGGTAGCACTAGAGATAAAATAGATTAAAAAGGGAGAGACAAGCCAGATGCAGTGTAATTCCAGCTACTCAGGAGGTTGAGGCAGGAGTTGAAGCATGAGTCCAAGAGTTCAAGACAGAACAGGCAATACAATAAGACCCCACCTCCAAAAAAGGAGGGTGGGCTAGAAAAACTTAGTGACTAGATAGAGGAAAAAAAGAGAATATATGATAAAATAATTTTGCAGATAGATATATGTAAACACAAACTGTAGGTTTTGATACCAGATTATTAACTGTATATGCTATACAACTCTTGAGAAATTTCTTTACTCCTCTGTTCTTAAACCTGGGTTCAATACCAGATTATTAATATTCACCTAGGTTTGATACCAGATTATTCATTGTATGTACTCCTCTGTTCTTAGACTCACTGGCAAAACAGGGGCCATGATAGTGCCAGACACACAGGGCCGATGAACACTGTGCCAAGATAACAAAGCTGCATTTTCTGGGCCATCTACTGCAGCTATGCCAGTTTCCCAGCTTTTACCAACAGGGTTTTGGCCTCCTTACTCTACTTGGCAGACTCAGGCTACCAGGTGAACTCTAATGTGCAGCTCCATGGGGATTAAAACAAATGGCCTATCATAATCTGGTACTTAACATATAGTTTCCATTAGTTTAATATTAACTTCCTTGAGTATTATTTGATTGAAATTTTTAAAATATTTTTGATTTGGTAGAAAACATAAAATTAAAAACCAGGCTGTTTATATCTTATTTCTTTTGCCATATGGAAGAGACTGGTGCTCTTAATTACCTGAGATTGTAACAGTTCCTATCACTTACAAAGATAATCTGTTTGTCATCTGAGGCAAACTAGTTGCTGGAAATGTTAACATATATGAAATAAATTAGGTGGATCCCAGCGTCTCCCCCATGCCATGCCTTCAAAGTAAATTTAAAAAGATGTATTATTATAGAGAAATAGCTACAATGGTCATCAAGGTCTGTGAATGAATCAGTAAATGATAAAATTAAGCAAGTTTATGTCTATATACTGGTTGTCATAACAATACCTAATGTAAACGGGCTTTTGTTAACTGGATAAACTGCAATAAATGAATTAAAAGGCATACTCCAAAATTCTGTTCTAGAGCTAAAAACATGGTAATCAATTTTTCCTATAATATCATAGGTTAGAAACTATTATATTTGATTACTTACATAAGAAAAATCAAGAAAGAAGTAAATGTTCTGGGAATATACAATTTAAAAATTGCCATGTATGGGGAAAACTGGTAGAAAAGAGGTAGAAATAACTGATTACAGAGATCTATATAAAAAAAAGTTAATTGCTGAGGAGAAACTATTTCTAATAGGACTGTTGCTGTCCTGCAGAGGACTCAGTCTTGGAGTCAAAAGCCAGGCTCTTAACTTATATCTGAGTAAATGGAAAAACAATTATTTTATAAGAATAGTTACTGAGAAATACTACAAAGTATTTGTAGTATCCATCAAGAATCAGAAGCTTTTATTGTCACAAAGGGTACTGGAGATTATCCAATGACTTACTTTAACAATACAATTCTTCCCAAAGATGTTATGATTTGTGCAAGTTGAACATAATCCTTTTGAGAAAATTAAATTTTCAATATCATCTTAGAACATAGGAAATGCACTCTTCAGACTTAAGTATCAGTAGTAAACCATTTCTAATAAATACAAGAGATGATGTTTTGTTTAGACACACAATGAAGAATAAAAAGCTCATTACCCGGGCAGGACTGATGTCAGGGGTGCTGACAGCTACAGCCTCTTGTTGAGAATTGATAATGTTTTTAATCCTCAAGTCCAAAGCCTGAGCAGCTTCCTCAACTGCTTTATAAAAAGGATCCCTGCTGTTCTGGCCTTTAGTCAGCTGCATCTTTATCACTGACAGAATACGACTCCCTGCAATGCTGAAAATAGAAATAAGATCATCTTTATAATAGTATTGCAAACAGCAATGTGCTTATAAGCTTGAAAATATAATTTTCAGCACTAATCAACACCTTTCAAAGAATTTAGCTTTGATCTTACAAATCAAACAGTAAAGCATTTAAGAAAATGATGAGAACCATTAGAAACAAAATGTTTAAAGTTTTTCTAGAAACAAGTAATTTCAACAAGTGACATTTTCCTTGATTTGAAAGCTGAAGGGAAATACTTTTGTTATACATGAAATGTGATTACAGATCAGACCCACTAATATACATGCAATACACTTAAAGTATGTACTTTTAGATATTACTAAAATAACAAAAAACAGCTACCTCTCAATGAACGTCTAGAATGTTACATCACTGTAATTTTAAAACCAGTTCGAAAAGTTGTTAATGTTACCCCTAAATCACAGATGAGAGAATTGAGTCTCATGAAGATTAAATGACTTGACTGAGAAAATCGTGTTTGGGATAGGAGAAGAAGGAGACTGACCTGAAACATTCAATATACCATTCTAATATGTGAAGGTTATTATATATGAACAAGGAAATTAAACAAGTTAGTACTAACACAAAGCAAATCAGAGACTGGACCAACTATGACCAATATACAAGTGTTTTTAGAAACCTGAAATGTTCCTTTATTCCAAGACTAAACCTGAAGGAATTTGGAATTGCAGCTCCTACTGTAGAGAACCTGCCAAGGACCAATGTGAGAGATATATAGGATGAAAGATCTTGGTCCATCCCAAGGCAGGAATTAGAGATATCCAACAATAGAAGAGGAATCTCACTTGAAGTCACAAGATCCTCATTCCCTGAAGCACGCCTGGAAAGTTGCGCAGTGCGGAATGGGAGAGTAGTCTGGGCTGATCATGGAGTCACGCTGCCTGAGACGAATGGCACTTCTGCCATTTGCTGCTGAGAGTATGCTGCTAAACTTCTCTTTGTAGTAGCATAAGGAAATTTTATGAATTGAAGTTTGCACCCTCACAGCTTTATTGCCAGGTATTATGTCTTAGAGAACAACCAAACTCCCTAACACGCACAGGATATATGATAGTTCACATTAAAATAACTGGTCCAGATAGAAAAGTTAAAAGAAAATCACAGAGAAACTTAATTTATGATGACAATACATTAGATCAGTGTCTCACAAATTTTCCCAATCATCAGAATCAGATCAGTTGTGTTTAAACATCAACTCTGGATCTGATCCTACTGAATCAGCATCTCCAAGGACACTGGATAGTAGCATTATTTAAAAAGCAACACTGGTGGTTTTTATAAGGCAAAGTGGAAAACCATTTCAGGCAAAAATTAGGTCTTTGAGAAAGGAAATCATAAATAATCTTCACATACCAATGTACACTTGACACACAGAAGAGATGATGTTTGTAAAGGAAATGAACATTATTCAATCTGCAGTTTTTAATAGTAAAACTCAATATATAATTTAGTATTTATTTATATTATTAGTTGTAATACAATAGTGCTTAAAGTGTTTGAACTTACTCTACAATAAGTGTAAACACTCTGGGGGAAAGTCTCACTGAGCATGGTGAGAATAGAGGAAAATCTCCAAATACCCCAAACTCTCCTTCAGAAAGGAATGAACAAGAGCTGGAGTGGTAAGTGGTAAGTGGGAAGTTGTGAGTATAATAAAGCAGGAAGAATGAGGTCTTCCAAAGGCAAATATCTATAGAAGCATTGTGATCAGAATGCAAAGCCCTGGGCTAGCAACAAGTGGGATAGGGCAACCAGTGACTTTCACTGTCAGTCTGAACTTTCCAAAGGGGAAGGAGCTGGTGTGGCTTTTATTAGGTTAATTCTATGTACCTTATATATTTAAAGCTATTTTTCTGAAACTTTCTCTATCTAGTGAAGGTATAGAAATACAAGTATTTTTTATTTATTGACCTTATGATCAGATATAGAAATACATTTACTTCTTTAATTGTTAATTTACTTCTTTAATTTAATTCCTTAATACATTTACTTCTTTTATTGACCTTACATCCAGCAACACTGTTAAACTCTTCTGCTAATTTTAAAGTTTTAATAATTGTTTTTAGATTCTTGGAGTTGTCTACATATATAATCATTATCAAATAGCTTTATTTCTTCATTTTAATTGCTTTATCTCCTTTTTTTTTTTTTTTTTTTTTTTTTGGCCTTACAAACCTGAATTAGACATCCAATACTGTGTTGAAAAGAAATGAAGACAGCAGTAACTTTTAATCTTAGTAACTTTTAATCTTAAACTAAATACTAAAATATTTTATAATTAACTAGATCAACTAGGTTTTTATAGAAACCCTTCTATTAGGCTAATGCCCTCACTCGTATACACTGAGGAATCAGCCCAAGAGAGTGGTAATCTGCCTCTATTAGACCCACTCATGTTGGGCAGACTCTGGATTTTGTCCCCTCAGATTCAAACAACTACAAGAATAGAACTCCAGTTCACCAAATTCAGCAAACGCTCTCAAAATAAAGGCTGGTTTCTTTTTAACTTACCTCTTTGGCTTTCCTCTTTTACATATTCTATGACCTGCATTTTCATTACATTTTCCTGTTCATCAAGGCTTTATTAATTACTGTTAATAAAGGGTTGATCAGGGGACCTAGCCTGTCATATTTCTATAGTCAAAAGTATGAGTAAATTCTAGGATAGTTTCAAGTACACAAGAACTTTCTTTTTCATGTGTTTTTTCCCCTTAATTTCCATTTAACAGAAATGAACTAGATAAAATATAGTTAAAATGAAAACATAATTAGCACAATATACTTTTTTTCTGAGAATTAATCTTATGAAAAAGGATTTGAAAAAAATTCAAATGGCTAATAAAATACAAAAGCGTGTCTTAGTGCCAATCACAAGAATTTATTAAAAAAATGTTTCAAATGATTAAAGAAAAAAGTCACCCTTAACCTTCTTTTCCCATGATCTCAACAAGAATAAAAATGGTAAATTTTAAAGATTATGTAATTCACTGAGAACCGTTTAGGAAAAAAATTCATAACTTACATTTCAGACTTATATTTGCCTAGGTTAACAATTTGAGCCCTGGCTAAATACCCCAAACACTCATGCTATCACTAGTTTATTACAATATATTCACTACTAAAGCCATCCATTAGCTTTTTCAATATTTGCCATTCAACATAGTGGCTTAATTCAAACTTTGCCTCTAGAGCCTAGAAACTCGACAAGTTTTATTTGTTTGTTTCCTAGTGTTGGAGACTAAACCCAGGAGTGTTCTACCACTGAGCTACATTCCCTTTTTTATTATTTTATTTTGAGAAAGGGTCTCACTAAATTGCTGAGGCTGACCTCTAACTTGTGATCCTCCTGTGTCAGTTTCCCATGTAGCTGGGATTATAGCTGTGTGTCACAGTACCCAGCCAGAAGATTTAACTCAAATTACCCCATGATATCTCTGCTATGCACAGGGGTTATAAAGTGAAGAAAACCTTTTTCTTAACTGTAGCTCCTGATTCGTGACTGCATCAAACCAGAGTGCTGGGGCAGAAAGAGAAAAATGAGGCTAATAATGAAAAGCATAATTTGATTCTTAAGTTCCAAACAAAGTAACTTGAAGAAAACACTGAGCAATAACAGAGAGTGACTGCCAATACTTGAAAGTAATTATTGATTATTCTTCATTCTACTAAATAAAGTGATCGTCTTTTCTGTATCATATTCAAAAATTTGATAACTGTTTGCTGAAATGAATTTTACCTTTAAAAAGTAAATTTGATGAAAGGCACCACATAAAATGTATCAAAAATGCTTCAGAAATACTTTAAACAAGAAAAATTTTAACATTCTACAAGCACATACTAAATATGTAATGCTGGTTTGCACTAAAATTGGGTAATAATCTTGAAAGACAGTAATTAAAACTTCTGAACAACAACAATTAATTTATATAACCTAAAATCCTTTAACTCAGGACTTTTTTTCAGGTAAAGGTATGGTATGCATTTTGTGGTGGCACCTACTGGCAAAGTGTAGAAATGCAGCCAACTACAGCTAAGATGGCCTCATGAAAAGCTGGCAAGAGTGATGAATGTGAGAATCAATTCCCCCCCCGCCCTTCTCCCATGTCTATTCCCATTCTTCCATGGGCTGAAAGGTGACTATAACTCCCCTATTACAAGGTCAGTATACAAACTTATCCTCAGATACAAGAGTTAAATATATTTTTATTTCCAAGTTTTAAGGTTGAGAGACAAAAAGGATAGAGACCAAGAGTGAAGACAGGCAGGAGTTTGACTGTATACAATTTTGCATACCTCACTGAGATTCCTGGGGCTTTACCCTATACCTACTATGCAATCATTGAAGGTCTTAGTCAAGGGCTTAACATTCGCTGCTTCAGGAAGATCATTCTGGTAGCAATAAGACTAACAGGATGGAGCAAAGCAAGACTGAAAGCAGAATGCACAACTCAAAGAGACTGGCAAAAAAGTCCAGAAAGAATTAAAGTCTAAAACAGACAGCATAAAGACTGGAAATAAGATGGCAGCTACAGGAATAGAGATGAGGAGAAAGAATATAAAAAGTGTCACAGAAGAGGAGTTGCTAGAACTAGGTGAACCAGGAGACAGAGAAAGGAGAAAGACTTCACTACTTTAGAAGAAGCACCTTTCCAGGGAAAGATTAAGATGTAGTTTGAGACATGTTAGGTTTCAGTTGCCTTTGAGGTACTACCTCAAAGACAGTTGAAGATATGTCTCTAAAAATCAGAAAAGAAGTCTGGATTTCACTGAAATATAGATTTGGAAGAATTTGCATAATGTAATGAAAGGGGGCTAGAAAATAAGAGAATAGTATCTTAGATGTTATGAGGGAAAAATAAGAGTTCAAGACAGTGATCATATATAAGGACTCAAAAGAGTCCAAAGACAATAACAACCAGATGATCACAAAAGCTCATAGGCAGAAGAGCTTTGGGAAACATCAAAGGGTGTGAGTTGGTCAAGTATAAGCAAGGAAATGAATAGTGAATGTCTGCTCTGTGCCAGAAATATTAGTAAAGAAAACCAATAAACCCTCAAAGAGCTTACTGCCTCCTGAGAAATGCACATTAAATAACTAGAAATAGCAAAGTATTAAAAAATAGCATTTTCTTCAAGAATTTGAGCTGTAAAAGGAAGAAGGAACTGGAAGAAACAGAAAAGATGGTGTCTTGCTTTTTCTTATAATCTTTAGATTGTGGCTAAAGTCCAAGTAGAGAGAATAAAACAAAATAAATTACAAATGAAGCCAAATAGGTTGTCCACACCCCTGGGCAACGTCTTCAAGTTTACATAAAGAGTTTATCACAATGTCTTACACAATTAGCGTTCAATAAATATCAGCCATTTTTATTAGAACCATGCTATGGAATAACAATCAAAACCACAGGAGTCCACCATAATTGTAAGCATATACATTCCACTTCTACCCTCCAAAATTTTTCTTTAAAATTTATCATCCAATATATCTATATTACAAATGCAAGTCTAAGAGATTAAAAAAAACTCTTTTTCTAATATCACATATAAACAAATGACAGATGAACCAAAGATTTACACATTAGCAAATAAAAGATAACCAGTATAAAACAAAATAGAGAATTCATCATATTTTTAAATTTTCTTATTCATTCTTAGTACTGGTTTCCTTCAACACTAAATTAAAAGTTTAAAGGAATTATATCTATTTGGCTATTTCTAGTCTTCAAAGATCTGTTTCTTCCAGATAAAAATATTAATACTTTTTTATTAATCAAAGTTAGTTTGGATGTACTTTTAATTTTGGTAAAAATTTAAGAATGTCAGCAAGGCATACAATAATTTATTCATCTATTTTGCTTTTCCTCTCCATTGTTTGGCCTAACGCTTGATCATTTTGATATCTATTATTCCTACCTGTGATTTTGTGAAGTTTTAAAGATAGGCTAATAAGACAAATTTGTAATTTATGAAAAATATATTACCTTGGACTTGGTGTTTCTCCAAGAATCTCATTTAATTTGTCAATTAAATGAATAAAATTAGACAGTCCCTTTACATGTTTCCTTAAAGGATCAGATGGTGATGGTGCATAGCCTTTCCCTCCAAGCTCTAATGTTCTAATAAAGGATGTAGCCATCTGTGAGTGGAAACAAAGAGTTTACTCATGTTTAATGATTAAGCAAAAAGCTACAGTTTACCTTTTGAAGCTAGATCTATGTAGATTTAGGAATACAGTTAAAATGAAGCACAATTTATGGCTCATACACTTTTCATTAACCAAAGAAACAAGTGCCAGGCAGAATTCACGCACCAAGGTTGGAGCAATAATGCCCAGCTCAGGTGGAGGCTAACGGGCTAAGTCAGAGAGTAAATTAAGGACTTAAGGTCATCTTCACATTCATAAGAACAGGTCATTGACTATAAAGAATTTGTTGACATTCCTAAATTGATGTCAGACTCCTGGAACCATTATGAAGAACAAACTCGTTTTCATTGTCAACTAATCTACTATGAATTGTCTGGCAATTCAGCATTTCTAAACTTTTACTTTACCTTTCTTATAAAATAAATATTTAGACTAGATAGCCACTAAATTCCAACTACGTCTTGCATCCTAGACTATTTGACCATGTGTAAAATGCTTTTTCTTAACAAAGATAAAATATGTATGTGATGGTTGAACTTAAGAATGTCTCCATCAAAGAAAAAATGTTTAGTAGATGCATTTTCTAAAGCATTACCCCAAGAAAGACAAACTCTATGAAATACCAATAATTTGGGAGAAAGCTCCATGGTGAAATAACTTAGAAAATAACAGACTAAATAATCAGGTTAACTTCTTTTTTAAAAAAATCTTTTTAGTTATAAATGGACACAATATCTTTGTTTATTTTTTATGGGGTGCTGAGGATCAAACCCAGTGCTTCACACATGCTAGGCAAGCACTCCACCATTAAGCCACAACTCCAGTCCCAGGTTAACTTCTTAAGAAGCAGACTTCTTTATGAAGGAACTTCTCAAAGTTCTTCATACATAAACATGCATTATGAATATAGTCTCCAACGGGGAATATACTATTTCTAAAATTTATGGCCTTGGAAACATTTATACGAGAAGAATTTACCAGGGCTAGGACTCTATAGAACACATGTAGTTAAACAGTGCTTTAGAGAATTTCTCCCTTGCCAAACATGAAGAAAATAGTAAAAAATAAAAATACCATTGGTTTTCAAATACAGAGATAGAACATGAAATGATTGCTTAAAAGTTGTTTCATCATAATCATAAGAACTCTACATCAGATCCCTAAAGTTCAGGAACAATGCCAAGAATTAATAATTAGGATGGCATCAAATTAAAATGCTTCCGCACAGCAAAGGAAATAATTAGGAATATGAAGTGATAATCTGCAGAATGGGAGAAAAACTTTGCTAGCTAGTTTTCTGCCAAAGGATTAATATATAGAATATATAAAAAACTAAAAAAAAAAAAAAACCCAATCAATAAATGGGGAAATGAACTAAACAAATACTTCTCAAAAGAAGAAATAAAAATGATCAACAAATATATGAAGAAATGTTCAAGATCATTAGCAATTATGGAAATCAAAACTAAACTGAGATTTCACCTCACTCCAGTCAGAATGGCAATCATCAAGAATACAAATAATAATAAATGCTGGGGAGGATATGGGGAAAAAGGAATAGTTTTACACTGTTGGTGGAATTGTAAAGTAGTACAACCACACTAGGCATGGAACCACCATATGACCCAAATATACCACTCCTCAGTATTTATCCTAAAGAATTAAAGTCATCTTACTACAGTGATACATACATACCCATGTTTATAGCAGCACAATAGCCAAACTATGGAACCAGCCTACGTGTCCATCAATGGATGAATGGCTAAAGAATTGTGATACACACACACACACACAAAAAAAATGGAGTTTTATTTAGCCATAAAGAAAAACGAAATTATGTCATTTGCAGGAAAATGGATGGAACTTGAGAATATTATGTTAAGCGAAATAAGCCAAACTCAGAAGGTCAAGGGCTTTATGTTTTCTCTCATATGTGAAAGGTAGAGAGGGAAAAGGAAAAGAAAGGAGGGTGGGTGAAGATCTCACAAAAAAATCCAGGGGTAGGGAGGAGAGAAAGGAAGTGGAAAGTGCTGGGGAGTGATACTGGCCAAAATATATGGTCATATTGTATGCATGTATGAGTATGCAACAACAAACTCCATCATTATGTACAATTATAAGGCAACAATAAAAAATGTGCAAAGAGAAAAAACAAACTCTATATCAGGGTTTATGAACCCACTGCTCAAAGAGTCTTAACACAATCATGACAATGTAACATTTCCATACCAAATAGATAGACATCTGTTTCTCTTGAGCAGCATGTTTCAAATCAGTGAAGGCTTCTCTTCCAAGTCCTCTATCAGGAATATTGAGAATATGAGCCAGAGCCAGGTCATTCTTTGAATTTACTAGCAGGCTTAAATATGAAAAGATAACTTTCTTTGCTAGTAGCTGTACCTGTACAATAAAATATTCAGTTATTTTCTTTATTGCAGTTATTCTAAATATTTTCAATGTATAGTAGTACATATAGTAGTACATATATAAATATTTTCAATGTATAGTAGTACATATATAAATACACCACAGTGAATCTCCACATCATGTACAACCACAAGAATTAGAATAATGCATGCATAACATGTCGAAATATACTCTAGTGTCATGTATATTTAAAAAGAACAAATAAAAAGAACACATATGATGATTCAATCACAATACTTCACAGTTCTTTAGGAAATGAGAATTGAATATAAACTGAAACCTTAGGTTGCATAGTCAACATATTCTTTCTTTTGAAATAAACTCACTGACAATAAGAAACCATGAGTACATAGTAACTATTATAATTATTGGAAAATGACTGTTAAAAAATGATACAAAAGATACAGTTCAAATCTGCATTTCTAATTCTCTTGCATACATCAGCCACTAAATAATAGCCAATAATAAAATTTCAGAAGCTTAGACCACGAGCCAACTGACTCTATTTGTTCCCATAGCTACATTCCTTAAATGCCAGATTTAAGGGCTAAAGATAAATGTTTAAGTTTTGAGAACTAGTAGATACTGAAAATGAAGAGATTTAACTAAATGTTAAATAATAGCATTCAGTTGATGCTGATATTTACTGGTGTCATGCAGAGTTACAGACTATTCAAGCAAAAAATAAAATTAGGGAGAACTTGACAGAAGCATCAGGTCTTTCATACACACACACACACACACACACATACACTGATTATACTTGTCCTTCAATCTCAAATGAAAAACCAGGTAATTGAATAACCTTTATCATCAAAATAGCTATTTATAGGTATTCAGGACCTGGCAGCTTTTAAAGCTCACACAGCAACTATAAAATATTAGATAAATAAAAAAAAAAAAACATAACTGTATAAAGACATGGAAAAGAACCCAAAATGCACAAAAGTGAAAGAAGTAGAAAAAAAGTGTAATGATATTATGCCCAGAAACATCCTCAATTTGGAAAATATTAATTTATAGTTCCAAGAAGCTCTTCAAGTAGGTAAACATTTTTTTAAAAAATCACTCCTACACACATTATAATAAAACTCTAATAGCCAAAGAAGAGAAAAAAATTGGATGGCAGTCAGAACAAAATAATACATTACCTATGGGGAACAGGGATCAAGATAACAGGTCATCAAGAAATATGTAAACCAGAAGACACTGGATCAACATATTAAATATACTGGAAAATGATTTTTGAGAATTACTACACAATCGCAATAATCAAGATAGAGTAATATTCGGGAAAAGACACCCAGCTCAAAGGAATTGAACAGAGTCCAGAAATACTCTGACCCAGATATGGTTGTTAGATTTTGACAAAGTTGCAAAAGGATTAATAAAGAAAGGACAGTCTTTTCAATATCTGATGTTGGAACTGGTCATCCATAAGGAAAACAAATAAATCTCAACTAAAATCTTGTACCTTTCATAAAAATTAACTCACAGTGGATCATATATCTAAATGTACAATATAAAACTATAAAATGTTTAGAAGAAAATCTTTAAAACCTGTAACTAGACAAGGAAATCTTAAACATGATACCAAAAGGAAAAGAAAAACTTCATAAATTTTCATTCTGTTTTTACCATCTCACCTTCTGTTCTGGAATCCTGTTTGTTTCTAGTTCTTGGATGTTGTTTTCAGACTGAAATTCTCTTTCTTGCCTATTCCCTCAAATACTGCTTCATAAACTCTAAATTCAATTCATTCTCAAAACATGAAATTCATAAATCCTTCAATAACTTCAGTAATTTAGCTAAAGTCCCAGTAACTTATCATGGGAAAACTCTTAAGAAAATGTTTTCCTTATTCAAATTAAAATTTCTTCATATTCTGCCTAATCACATTTAAAATTTTTGAAACACAAAAAGAATTTTAAAAGGTAGCAATAAAAAATTATAATGTTACCTTTTCAGAGAGGTTTCCTGATTTCCTAATCTATAGCAGATACAAACTCTTTTATTTCCTCACCCTTTGATAACTCTGTATCATCCTATTATAATTATCTGTAGGTCTTATTATTTTCTGATATTTTGTTTATTTTCTTAATCCTTCCATTACTCTTGAGATCCATATCAGCAAGTGACATACCCTTAAAGCCTAAAAGAATATTCAGCATTATAGTAGGTAAGCAGTCCACTTTTATTAATAGGTCTCAATCAGTTTTTGCTTAATAATAAAGAAAAAATAATACATATGTTTGGTCCTTTTAAAACTTTAAAATTGAAATTCTATTAATTAAAACATCTGCAGTCAAATAAGTGCTTTTTTTTTTTTTTTAATTACATTGCTTTACAAAGAAAACCTCTCAGGTCAACCATAAAAAAATCGGCAGCATTAAAATTTGTCCTAAAATTTTATAAAATAACGAATAATACAGTTTTCTCCTTATATTTCAAGTGTCTTTTAATCTTTATTTGCACAATGAATTGTAATACTATCTGTGGTCTATAATAGTAAAGCTTCAATTTTAATTTCATAGTGCAATGGTCTGTCTAAAACAAGACAGACAAATTATCACTTTGATATCTGGGAAGAATAATACTATTTGTCAAAAACCAAAACAGAGGAAAAACTGATGTTTACATTGCAATAAGAAACTTTTTAATATTTCCTACATTTAATTTAACATAATCTGTTTCACTGTACTCTATTATTCAAAAATAATCAAGACTTACTATTATGTATACTCCTAATCCTTACTGGGTACAAAATCAGGGTTTATGCTTCCACATTTACAACTTACTCTTTAAGGCTAAAAAAATTCTAAATTTCTGATCTGTGATCCTGGGCAAATATCAGGGAAAAACATTTTGGAGTCCTCACAGATGGAGTGTTTCTTTTAACTCATGGCTGAATTGGACATCTATCCCCATCATTATGGTCAAATAACATGGCAGTTATGGTTTCCCTGCTCTTGTATGTGCAAGTGGGTTTTAAAGAGGCTCTCTGTAAAAGCAGTCCACATGAGTACAGTTATGATGTCCAGAAGCAAGGGCTTAAATTGACAAAATCCACAAGACTGAAGCTTTTCCAAGATACCAAAAATAAGGATACTGTTCTATTTATTTGTTTAATAAACTGATTCTATCCATACCACAAAATATTTGGAGATTTGTTTAGAAATTGGGCAATTTTATTTAAGCTTTCTGACAGTTCCAAGTTGCTTTTCCTATCCCTTAATTGTTACTGAAATGCTGATATTCAATCTCAGTTTGGACAAAGTTTTTCTAAAATAAAAAAATTTTGCAATTTGTACAGGTATTTTTTGCCTCCTTGGTTAACACATACATGCTTACATTTGCCAAAATAATAATAATAAGTTGGATTAGAACAGATATACTGATAGAATTTTTTATTTAAGTAATGATTTGGGGGGCTCTTCATTCTTTTTCCCTTTATTACTCAGAATTCTAAAACAGTAGTTTAACACTTTAGGAAAAATAAAATAAAGAAACAAAAATATTGTTTCTTAAATTCATTCCATTATTCTATTTGAAGATTTTGGTGTAAGCAAATTTGGTGATCAAAATATATCTTGGCAAGATCATAGCCCAAAAAAGTAACTTTAGCCTTTCAATAGAAATATATTGACTTCCCAAAATACCTTCTGAAAAGAAAAATTAGAAACTTCAGAGCTGTCAATGTGGCTCTAACTTTAATGGCCCTCAGAAAATCAAATCCACCAGCCAATTAGTAAGATAAAATTCTCCTAGAAAAGACAGTCTCAGGAAGCAAAAGATTAAAAGCACAGGATTAACACAAAGAAACAAATTATGAGTTTTTTGTGAGTTTTCTTTGGTTGTTTTTGCTTTGTTTTGGTGATGGGCCAGGGCTTCAAACACAGGGCCTTGTGCTTATTCACTTATTCAGGCTACACCCCCAATCCCTATCAGTGTTTTTTAAATATACGTACAATGAAGACCCATCAATTTCTCCATCATGGAAATCACTTTAGGATAATGTTTTATAACTGTAAGCTAAAATTCTAAGAGATTAGATCTTTTTACATATACAAATCAGCTCATTTCTCTTTTTAAAAAGTATATAAGAAGCCAGGTAAGTTTGCCCGCACCTGTGATCCCAATGGCTCAGGAGGCAGGAGGATTGAGAATTAAAAGACAGCCTCAGCAAAAGCAAGGCACTAAGCAACTCAGTGAGACCTGCCTCTAAATAAAATACGAAACAGGGCAGGGATGTGGCTTAGTGATCTAGTGCCCCTGAGCTCAATCCCAGGTACCAAAAAAAAAAAGTATAATAACAATTATTCTTAGATTCTCCCCTATAGAGCACCAGGAGCAAGACAAATCAAAGAAAAGGAGGCTGTAAGAGATCTCCCCTCCTCATACATGAATGTAGTTCTTAAGTGCCACTGAGAAAAGACCAGCCAATTTGGTAAGCAGTTTGTCAAGCTTTGGAGCAGAAGAGGAAAAAAAGTGAGAATGTAAGTGAAAACTTAATTTTAAGAAAATAGTTAAAAATCACTAAAAGGAACATGGTGGTCTGGGCAAGAAACATTCAAGGTGGGCTTGAGAGAAAAGAAAATGCTCAAAAAATCTAACAGGGCATAAATAAAAACTACAAAAATAAAAATCCATGACTCCACAGCAATCTACAAACAAAAAAGGAGAAAGTAGAAAAAAATCTTATTTGCCTCTTATGTATACCAATTCCCATGGTAGAGAATTAAGCATTAACCTTGACGTTTTAACAGAACCACACCTCGTCCCATTTAACAAGATAAAGCTTTTCTTTACTGAGAAATGGCAGGTAATTAATGTACACATGACAAAAAAAAAAGACTCACCTTTCTACAAATGCTAAATATTTGACTCAGGCAAGGATCACCAAAGCTTACATAAAACCATTAGGGAAACATTGTTGGGAAATAAGGTTATTTATACAGTGCTAAAGTATCACCCCACAGACATATGCTGACAGCAAAGGGAAAACTACATGTTATTTTTTATTGTTTTTAGTTGTAGTTAGACACAATACCTTTATTTTATTTATTTATTTTTATGTGGTGCTGAGGATCGAACCCAGAGCCTCGCATGTGCTAGGCGAGTGCTCTACCACTGAGCCACAACCCCAGCCAACCCGAAAACTACATTTTTATTTTGTAGAGATCTTGCAATTTGGGGCAGCCTGTTTGTGCCTTCTGAAGTGATACAAAATGAAATTCTCCACATCTGTTATAAACTATTTCTTATAAAATGTTAAGCCCAAACTTAAACTTCTAATTTCCAGTTTAATAGAATTACAGCAAGTAGCTGGGCATAATGGCATGTGCCTATAATCTCAGTGACTCAGGAGGCTGAGGGAGGAGGATCAGAAGTCCAAAGCCAGCCTCAGCAACTTAGCAAGCCCCTATCTCAAAAATAGCAAAACCAATAAAAAGGACTGGGGTGTAGATCAGGGATAAAGTACCCCTGGGTTCAATACCCAGTACTAAAAAATTAAAAGGGAGAGAGAGAGAGAGAGAGAGAGAGAGAGAGAGAGAGAGAGAGAGAGAGAGAGAAAGAGAGAGACAGACAGACACAGCAAATAAAAGAACAAGTTAAATATTACCAGAGTATTCATCAGATAATTAAAAAGGAAGAAAGAAAAAGATGAGGGGAATTCTTATAAATTAAGAGTCTAAAGAGATATAAAACCATTTTGGGGACAAATGCTGAAATTGGAGTAGAAAGGTAGTAAATTATATTAATGGGTATTTAAGTTTTCTTTATATGATAAGCGATACTGTGGCCATCCCTAATTTGCAAGAAGTATATGGTAAAGAATTTTAGAGATAAGTGTGAAGGATAGAAATAAAATCAGATATACATAAAAAAACTAAACTAAATTAAATCCAGAATGCAGGTATTTACTTGAAGGCAGTAATAAAATATGTTTTTAAAAGTACAATCTGTAAAATATAGGTCTTCTGGAAGAGTCAATCTCAGAAAAGTTTTCTGAAAAATTAAGAAGGTAATTCACCAATGTGAATTGACTTAATGCAGCAGTTGGTTATACAAGTAGGTGCACTCTAGATCTTTTATACACCATGTTTTTAAAAGTATGTTAAATATAATTTTACTATTTTTCCCAATACTCTCTAACTCTTGTCAATGGTGATTTAATTAATCATAAAACTTCTATAAATATAATTCCCATGGTCAGTGGGGGTCACTACATGCAATTAGATACCTAGCAGCTGAAAGCAAGTCGTATTAGACCAAACCTGTATGTGGCTCTAATGTTCTGTGATTCGTTTCCACAGCAAAACCTGTGGTCAGAACTCTTAGTCGTAGGTAGTATATCATTTGTATTACTTCGAAGGATACAGGCCAGATTTTTCAATAAAACAATAAGAGACTCACACGTCTAAAACAGTATATGTGAGGTGCAGAAACTGATAACTGAAAGTTCACCTATTTTTCTGGTTCTTTGAACGATACTTATTTTTGCTTAGTGAAGTTGCCTTGGCCCCAAACCATGAATAACCTGATTAGTATCAGGCTCTCTCTCTAGACTCCAATGTATTAATTTTTGCAAATAGTTTATTTCAACAAACTAAAGACTTATAAAAATTTTTAAAAAACAAAACATTAATAGCTCCAATGAACCATCAAATACATAGTGATTTGAAGGGGCTCATATTCTGCTTTAATTTACTAATCTATCAATACCTTTTCATGATCCTGGTTGTGTTTCACTGGTGACATTGGCATATAAAGATCATTTTCATCATCTCCTGCATGCTCTTTGCCACAGAGAAAATCCAGTAGTTGAATCTGCAGAAAATATAGGGTATTACTAATAAAAAAAATTCACACATAATGTCACTGATATTCCAGTGCAGAATATTACTTGATACTTGTTGGCAATTATTGACTATACATGGAATTCTTCATATGAGATATTAGCATGATATTCTTTTTCATATTTCATAAATCCTTCGACTTGACTAATAAATGATAATCTTGATCAAGGATAAGATTTGCAGGTCCTCTTCCTTCAGGGCATGGAATTAAAATTTTTGTTAAATAACAAACTTATATTTAAATTATAATTAAAGGATAAATTATAGTTAAATAAAGAAACTAGTAAGATTCATCATTATCCTTAAGAGTTCAGGAATTTTACCAGAATGTGAAGAGGCACGTATGTTTTCTCATCAATATAGCCTGGAACTGTTAAATACTCATCATTAGCAGACTTGGGTCTCCCAGCTAAGGAAACTGTTTATTATAACTAATATTCATATTTAATTATGCCCTCATATGCATCTTCCTTGGAGTACTATCATTTTCATGTTAATTCCTCTAGATTTAACCTCCAAGTTTCTTTTCCTTTATTTCATAATCTTGTATTTATTCTGTACTTTAAATTTTTATTGTGCTTGAATAAAGAAAATGCAGTATATATACATCATGGAGTTTTATCTAGCCATAAAGAATGAAATGATGTCTTTTGCAGGAGAATGCATGGCACTTAAGGGGTGAACCTCATGCAAATAGAATGGAGATGGATAGAGGAAGGAAATCCGGAGGAGGGAGAAGAAAATGGGAGGTACTGACCAAATTATATTGTTTTATTATGTGCATGTATAAATAAATCTACTATCACATGTAATTATAATGCACAAATTAAAATCAGAAAAATAAAAAAATTTATTGTCCTTGATTTTCAGGATACTAACTTGATTTTGAATTTATGTTTTTATCTTCTTTTTAAAAAATTCTCATCAAAATGGCTTATTTTTCAAAAAGAACAGGAGTTACTCTGAAGTATTTATCTGTATGTAGTTACACAACTTTTTCTGCTTCATACTCTCATGCTTTATTTGAAAAATTAACAAGCTTTTATCACTTTTATAAGCATGATAATTTTATAACCTGGTAATTGCTAAAAAAAAAAAAAAAGGGGGGGGAGGGGAATGAACCTGTGTAAGAGCTTATAGAGGAAGAACTAGCTCATAAAAGTCACAAAGGTGGAGACATCTTACACAAAGAATAAATTCTTATCATACTCAGAACATCAGTTGATGAAATGCTAGCCTGCATCTAATTCCTCTTTGTGAGAGATTTCATTCTCTCTGTTGAAAGCCTCCAAAGAAATGCAAGGAGAATGGAATTCTTGAGGCTGAATACTTCCCCCACACACACCTGCAGCTTTGAGAATAAAGCTTTTATCCATCTCTTAAAACAGAACACCCTAGACCTTACATGTCCCTACAATCTATTATATACTATTTTATCAATCTAGTCTGTGATAACATTTATAGGTAGTCCTTTTGATCCCTCTCTAGCAACAGGCTTTTTTTTAATCTCCATGCCTGAGGAGAGCCAGCCCACCTGTCCACACACCTGAAAGAGGGACCCAAAAGCAGCAGAGGAAGGGTTGGGGTTAAAAAGCTTTTTGTTTGTTTGGGGGAAGAGAAAAACAAATGTTTGTGGATAAAGTTTGGGGCCGAGGGCACAACATGGGACAAACATTTATAAGAACAAAATCTTGCTTTGTATTTAGTAACCACAAGGTGTCCACAAAGACAGGTATCTCTGAGACATGAGGACTTTGGAGGTTTGCTGGCAGTTTTCTGGGTTAAACTGAAGGGCTTGGGCTTCTGCTTCTGCCCAAGATGCTGGGCAGAGGCCAATAGGGTAAGATCTTCCCTAGGAATGAAGAGGTCTGGTGGCCCTAACTGCCCACTGCACCTGTTGGAGGCCCAGATCATGCAAGGCCTCCTCTTTCTGGAGGTGGCTGCAGAGCTGACCCCTGCAGGCATGGGGGACCCATGCTCTGCATCTCCCTTAACAAAGGTTAGAGGAATCACCTGGTGGTCTCAGGTTCCAACTAGGGGCCGCTTCCTCAGGAGAGCTGTGTTTTCTGAGCTTTCTCAAGAAGTCCCTTCCTACTCAGAGTTTAGCCCCAGAAGCTGGGCCTTGGGCTCCAAATACCACTTCCCCGGCTGCCCTGGGCAACTGCAGGTCGCACCCACCAGTGCCAGTGCAGTCCTTCAGCCCAACACCCTGATATATTCCCGGTGCCACACCACCCACGCTGAAGCCCTGCAGATGTGGCTTGTTTTTGGTTTGGAGTTTGTTGTTTGCAAAATCTAGGAAGTCTTATGTGTGGCTGCTATCCTTGAGTTTCCTTAAATAACTAATAATTATGTATATTCAAGTTGTCATTCCCCTCTAGCAGTTCCGTTCTGTTGGGCAGGTATGTTGTCAGCTGACCTATCCTTCTCTGGCTGCTGGTAACCTGTGGATGGTTTGTTGGTTTTCTTCACTGGCAGTTTGGGGCTCAGCTCTAACATGACAGATCTGCAAGTAATGGAAGGTGAAATGTCTTCTATGGCACAGCAGTGGAAGAAAAAAAAAAAGAGGCTGTCAAAGCGAACGAAGTCCCATGTTCTCCCAATGTTCTCCCAAGCCTCACCAACAGGAAGCAAGCCCACCCATCCGCTCCTTCTTGCCTAGAAGGACAGGGAATCTGGGCATACTCACAGAGGATATTTTCTGACCTTGCTCAGAGGATCCAAAAGTCTCTGTGGTTAAGCTCTTCTGCTCCTCACCCCAGATCTGACGCTATCTTTCAGATACCCACTAGTTCATGAGAAAGCAAGCTGTTCACAAATCTCCACTTCCACTCCAGCTAGAACCAAACCTTGTCTGCTTCCAGATGCCTATGGCGCTGCAACCATGGTCCTCAGGAGAGGAATTATAAACCAGAAAACGAAGGTGAAAGGGGAATGCTTCAAGTTTACAGGTTGCTGTCTTAGCTTTATCCTAATTCCTCATAATTCCTGCCTTATTTAAGCTATAATAAGAAGCAAATAAATTTTCAGAATCATTTGGAATAGTCTAATATATAAGTTTAAAGGCACTTAAGCATAAATTAGTGTTATATTTAGTACATTTTTGAGAAATACATCTGTCCATTTTTTCCTCACTAGAAATTTCCTTAGAGCAAGCATAGATATCAAAGACCAAACTATTAATGTTTCAGAGTTTAAATATAGAAAATTTCTTCATGCACTACATTTTAGCAGTTTCAATTTTCATTCCTGGTGTCCTTCAAGGGAGATATGTTACTATTTGGAGACCACCTCCCTCACAGACAACCCAAATGTGCACCTTATATATCTCATACTACAGGTTAATACACTCAAATGAGAAAGCTTTTTAGAGAACTCAGACAGGGGCAAGGCACAGGATGAAAACAATGTGCCTAAAATCCTCAGTTAGATCACACTAGTGCTGGTTGATCTTCTTTCTTGTTTCTACAACTCAATGCTTATATATGATTAGCCTCTCAAAAAGAACGATGTTAAAAGTAGTAAAAAATCATCTCAACAAGCAAGCAAAAAAAGTACAACTAGGGGAGAATTTACTAAGTGAACTATCTCCACTTTCAAGTACCCTTACCACACTGTGGATGTGCATGTGTGGGATGAACATGCACGTGGGCAACACATTTTGAGGAAGTTACAAGCAAAGGCCTCCATGGAGCCCAGTGAGGCAAAGACTACAAACTGCCAACTCTCCAACTCCGTGATCTATTTTATCCTTGAATGTTACTACCCAGAATAATGACTATCTTCTCCACCCTCCCTCAGCTTGGAGTGCCCATGTGACTAACCAAAATGGAAGCAAAAGAGCTATGTCTCCCTAAAAGGAGATTACTGTTCCCTCTTACTACTTCCTGTAGCAAAGAATGCTGATACAATGTCTGGAGCTTCAATGGACATCCTGAACCATGAGGTAGGTGGTCTTGAGGACAGAGGCCAAGAATTAAGATGGAACATGAGATGGGGAAAGCAGCATGACAGGAAAAGCCTGGATCTCTGATAACCATGAACTATCACATCAGTCCTAGTTACATATATTTCAACATCTTTTAGGAGTGAAATAAGCTTCCATTTTTTTCTAACTCACTTTTTTAGTAGAAGTTTCCATTATAAACAGCTAAAACAATATTACCATATGGAAATATTTACAAAGTATTCAAATTATCTTATAAAATATAGTAAACATCTTTTTCTAATTCCAGCTACACTTATTTAGCTATTACTACTATTTAACCACTGCTTTATAGCATTCAGTAAATCTTAAAGAGCACCTTCAATGCTTTTAAAAAATTAGATACAGATGAACATATTCTAAAAAAGGATTCATAAATTCTAATGTAAACAAAACCAAACTGTAAGGGATGCTACTGTATTTAATTTTTTAATTTATATCCTATTAAAAAATAACTATGGTTGTACAAAAAAAGAAGTCTATATCTCACACATATTGTCCCATACTATTCTCATAAGATAAATGACACTCCCATCACAAAATAAAATACTAATTAATCCGTAAGAGAAAAACCATAATAGTCATTCATATACCATATACTGAATAACAGATGCACATTCAACCAAGAAAAAATACATTTTAGAAAAGCAATCCTTGACATAATTAAAAAAAAAAACAAAAAAAAACCAGGCATTTGGTACTGATTTGTTACAATATTTTTTGACCTAATAAAAAACTGTTTTAGCAACCAAATAATAACACAAGTGTAACAAAATTTACCACCCAAATATTTCTTTCAAATAATAACTAGCTTTCAGGTACCTAAATTTTCCATTCTTAACATGATCACCAAAGCAAAAACATTATCAAATTACTAGAGCTTTTGTTTTTCTCCGAGCATGTTACTAACCAGAACAAAGACTATATTCTCTGCCTTCTTTCAGAACCTTCCTCAAATTACTATAACTGTGTAACTATGATTTAATGGTGCATGTTTGTAATCTCAGCTACTCCAGGCAGGAGGACTGCAAGTTCAAAGCCAGCCTCAGCAACTTAGCAAGACCCTGAATAACTCAGTGGGACACTGTGTCAAAATACAAAAATAAAAAGGGCTTGGGATGTAGGTTGGTGGTAACACCCTTGGGATTCAATCCCCAATACCAATAAATAAATACATATGTACATATACATATATAAAAGTAGCCTAGCTGAAATTTAGTTCTATTAAAATAGGATTATTTTAAAAAATACTTACAGGGGATATCATGTCATTATTTTCACAATTAGAAGTCAAAATCCTACATTTTTTATAAATGTCGATCAGATCTACCATATTACTATTCGTCAAAAAATCATCGTAAGTCTTCTTAATGTCCTCATAATGGTCAACCACTTCCATATCTTCAATGGGTAAGTTTAATTTCTCATGTAGTAAGAATTTCCATGTCATTAAAACATCACTGAGAGAGACTGTAAATTCTTCATAGTGCTGAAAGAGATGATGCCAAGAGAAAAAAAGGATAAAGTTGGGTGCCAATATATTCATTAACTTATAATTGAGATGGGAAATGCACATAAAATTTTGATGAGGCAAAACTTGCACACGACAAAACTGGCAAACAGAGTCATAGACTTATTTCCTAAATTTCACTGGATTTCTTCTACTCAGGGTCAAAGGAGGAGTGGGCAGTGATCAGTCCTTAAGTACTACTGACTGGGAAAACATTTGTTTCTGTAATCTTTACTTCCTTTTAATTTATGAGTTTTTGCTGTTTTGTTTTGTTTTACAGTCCTGGGAATTGAACTCAGGACCTCACATGTTAGGCAAGCCCTCTACCACTGAGCAACATGGATCTGCAGCCTTACCTAATATATCTTTAATCTTTTATTAAAAATTGCTAACGTCATAATGATTCCTACACAACACAATGTTTCAATGTCTTGAAAATATGGTCTTAGGAGTTTTTTCAAAATGATGTTTCATTCCATTAGTGTTGGAGGGTAAACAAAATATCAGCGCTAAAACCTAGGGCTTGAAAATAATTTTGATTCTTCCCTGTTTATAGACACACTAAACTTTAACAAATAAGCGTTAAAAAGCAAAAGTCAGGTTTTTTTCTATAGGTTCTCAGATGTTTCTAATCAGGCAAAATATTCTTTTGCTTTCTCTATTTTGACTTTCTAATTTTCCCGAATGAAATAAAACAGATTGTAATCTGGCTACAGTGACTTATAGTTGCTTAGAGACACATAATGTTACCAACATGTTTGTGTGTCAGTATTTTATTTAACAACAAAAATTTATTTAAAGTCTCTTAGTCAATATCTACATGATAAATTCTCTCACTGGACATGCTGAAGGTTTTGGTTTTTAGGGACTGCATGCATTCTTTTCCCACATTAATACTCTACATACTAATAACACTGACGACTAAAAAATGCCAGCTTTCATTCAGTAAAAATTTGTTTCTTTCCAACGTAGCATGAGTACCAAATATGTTTCAGTATTCATATGTGGTTTTGTAAAATGTAATATGTGCTACCTTCAATTGTTATGTTCCCTTAATATATTAGTAGTTTCTGCCAATACCAAGCCCTTTCCACTAAACCCATTTGAAGATGGGAGGATAATTAAGAACTGCATAATTCACTGAAACTAAATTGTTAACACCATCTTTATACAATGAAGAATAATAAAAAGAAATCAACACACCCAACCCACATTTTCTATATATTTGATGCATTGAAATCTTTATCTTCATATCTTTTTTGATAATCAGTCACATTTGCTACTTACTATCCAAATTTATGACAAGGTGTCCAAAGCTGTCTTAAAATAATTAACTCTACTTTTCCATCTGGAGACGACTAAGAAAATCATCCTGTTGTTCTTAGGATAGGAACCTATTACACCAGGAATATGAAAATTCACTATTGTGTATGAAGCTAGTTCAATGAACAACCAAAACAAATCAGTAATTCTCAAACCCAAACATAAGACAGATTTGTAATTTCCCAGCACTGCATCAAAAATTGGTTACTTAAATTCCCAATTCCAGAAAGCTTACAGTCCAGAAGATTTCCAAGTGGTATTAAATTAAATAAATCCAGATATTTAGAGTTTCAAAACTCACTTATTTTATCTCAAAAATTTCTAAAACTTTTGTTGGTATGACACTCTTCATGTTTAAAATCAATTAATATTTTTGCCTAATGTAAATGTACAATTTATTCACACTCTGTTGAATACAACCAGTTAAAATAAAACCATGAAAGCTCCAATCTTGTGAGAAAAGGTTTTGACTAGATTAACAGTGTTTATACTGGGACGGTAAAAACATTTTAAATCCAAATAAAAATGCACTCCAGATATCAGTTTTCATGATCAGGTGCCCACCATGACAGCATATTCTATTTTTCAAACCAGTAACAACTGATTGAGAGAGTCTGTGGTCAAATCAGAAAATGTTTTGGTAGGAGAACACGCCAGCTGGCTAATATATGAAGGAAGTTCAAAATGTTCGATTCTTTAATTCTCTGATGGATCTAAGGATTGTATTTCATAAGAATCAAATGAGCAAAGCAAGAGTTACACATTTTTCAGAGCACTTGTACTCTGATTATATATTATATCAGTTACTTTATAATATTCAAAATTGTAAATAAAATTTACATTTTTGAATTATGAAACTTTTGTTCTTAGTATGAAAGATAGCAGGTCTACTAAAGAGCATTAATTAATTGTGTGACCTTGGTTATTGACCTTGCTTGCTAGTAAAAAGCATTAAACCATAGTATGACCAGTTTCCTTGGTTAAAAAATGAGATTGTACAAATGAAATAATACCTGATAAATGGTAGAATAAAAAATGTCAATTTCCTTTCTCTTTTCCTGCTCTAAGTAAAATAATTGTTGGGAGAAGGGTGGTACATAAATGCAATAAAATTTTAAAACTTCTTTCTTCTCATTTCTTGGGTCACTATTAGGTCATTTTCAAATGTGACAAGTCTACCATAGATGCTGAGATTGCTTTCCATGAAGTAATAAAACTGATACCTTTGTCTATTGCACAAAATGAAACATTTGAAACCTTCTTAGTAAGAGCATATAAGGTGAAAAATATTCTATATAACGTAATTGCCAGACAGATTCAAACTAGGAAATCATTTCCAAAGAAAGAAAAGACCACAATACTATTTGCCAACTAATGAAGTTATATAAATTCATTCCTCAATGAATCTATAGGTTACCTTTTTAGCAACATAAAGCTTTTGGAGTCATGAGTCAAGCCAAAAAAATTCCCCCTCAAAAAGAATGTGAAAAATATAAAACCCAAAGATTATTGTAACATACTTTTTCTTCCATTTAAGCAGTTAATAAAACAAGCATGACATGACAGACTAACAATTCTACTAGGTATTCAAGAGTTTAGTTGTAATAAAATTCAGTTGTAAGGACTACACTATAGGACTCATGCTTTCAAACTTAAGAGAACTTAAGTAAAAAGAATTCAAAGGATAAAACATATAGGTAAAGGATATATATATAACCCACTTTACCCTACTATTACCATACGGTATTATGTAGGGGCGTGTGTGTTGCTTTATACTGCTGAGTGCTTGGAAGTCTGAGCACAGTTGAGGGTGCCGGCGCTGATGTGTCCATAGAGCTAAATAAAACTGAACTGCAAAACAACACCACTGCATACACAATTGTGAACTGTGAAAAGTTCAGTCACGACTCACCTCTCCTCTTCCCCACCTAGAATCTGAACTTTCACAGTGAATTAAGTGAATTGGCAAGCAGCAAATTAGCAAGCAGAAAAAGACACTGAACTACTGCTTACATACACACGCCCTGAATAAAAACTGTCTTTGGTTGAATATTTCAATATTATCAAGATTTTTATTATGACATCTAAACGTCTTCAGAGTATATTTTACTTAGCTTGTTGATAAAATATGTTCATCCTTTTAAAATGAGAGGATTTGAATATGTTCTGATTCCAGAAAAACAGCCTTCAATCATATATAATACTGATACTTCATCACCTTAATGTCTCTATTTTCTAGTAAATGGCCACCAAGGTTTAACTCCTGCTATACTGTTCTATTTATATAATATCTTCAGAATCTCTTACTTACCTTGGTGTCATTTCTTCAGATTATTAAAGACAGACACTTTAATTTTAAATTGGGAGTCAAATTGGCAAGACTTGGATATGGGTTGCAATGGGGAACAAAGGAAAGGGACTATGGGATAACCCTTGGGTGTTGGGTGTCTCTTTCAGTGACCAGTGAACAATGGTATCTACTATTAAGAATAAGAATATGAATGGGAAGACAATTTAAGGAAACAAATGAAGTGCACTAGTTTTAGGAATTGATGTGGAGATGGTAATGGAGCAGCAAAGGAGCACTTGATCATACCAGACTAAGAACCAACAGATTTCCAATATAAATGCTGGTGAAATGCATTCAATTCAAGTAGATCAAATGAAGGCCACTGGAAGCTACTCAGGGAATAAAGATATGGCACTATAAATTATGCTGCTCTGGAATATTGAAAACTTGGGCTAAAAGCACTAATAAAGAGCAGATGCAAGAAGATCACTCTCAACTTCCCAATGTTTCTTACAGCAGATTAAATCACCATGTTAAAAAGTCCTCTCTATTCCAGAAGGAAAGTAACATTCTTACCATCAAGCACAGGAAGTTGAGGCCAAGAGAAATCTGAACAGGTCTCTTTAAATAACCCCACCTTCCTAGCCTCTTCTCTATCCAATTAACTACCTGGCTCAATCTCTTTGCCATGTCACATTTTCATTTTATTAGTCTCTGTCAAATTCCACACATAAATGTTCAACTTAAACTTTCTTTTGGGTTTTCATTTCCTTATGAAGACTCCCATGTCACATTAAGACTTGTATTAAATAAATCTGTGTGCACTTACCCTATTGATCTGTCTTCTGCCAATTTAATTCTTAGGTCCAGTGGAAAAACTCTAGAAGGGCAGAGGTAAAATTTTGCCTCCACAAAACATGAACAAAGTGTAAAACAAGGAAAGTATATAAAATATGTTCAGAATCTTTCAAACAATACAAAGATAAACCAACTTAATGGTGTCATAAGCCAAAGACATGAACAGAGAATTTAAGAAAAGTCCTAGTCTCATAAAGTAAGTTTGGAAGTATGTTTTCTACAGTGTTCTGGAAGAGATGGAGAAGGGTTGAAATTAGTTCTTTCAATGTTTGGGAGTATTCACAGTGAAGCCATGAGGTTTGGGGCCTTTCTTTAATGGGAGACTTTTTATTACAGGATTCAATCTTCATGTCATTTGGTCTGTTCAGATTTTCTATTTCATCATGATTCAGCATATATCAAGGCATCTGAGTATTTCTTCTAGGTTACACAGTTGTATATTGTTCATATTAGTCTGTTCAGGGCTTGGAATGATCATTTATACTTCTGTATTATCACTTGTAAGGTCTCCTCTTTCATTTATGATTTCTTTTATTCTTAGTCTAGCTAAATGTTTGTTGATTTTATCTTTTTAAAAAGCCAAACTCTTAAGTTTCATTGATCTTTTCTGTTGTTTTTCTAGTCTTTATCTCAAGTATTTCTGCTCCATTCTTTATTATTTCCTTCCTTTTGCTAACTTTGGGCTTAGTTTGTTCTTCATTGTCTAGTTATTTGAGGTACATTAGGCTGTCTATTTGAGATATTTTCTTTTTTGATGTAAATATTTATTGCTATAAACTTCCCACTTAGAACTACTTTGGCTCCTTCCCAGAATTTTTTTGTTATGTTTCCATTTTTGTTTGTTGGAAGATATTTTAAAACTTCCCTTGTAATTTCTTTGACCCTGTGGTTGTTCAGTTTATTTTTTTCATTCCAATGGTTTGTGAATTTTCCAAAATTCTATTATTGATTTCTAGTTTTATACCATTGTGATCAGAAAACATACTTGATGTTTCAATCTTAGATTTATTAAGACTATTTGTAGCCTAACACAGGAACTATCCTGGATAATGTTCCATGGGTACTTAAAAACTTTTCCAAAAAATTAAATAAGAGGAATAGTTCCAAATGCACATTAAGAGTCCTGATATGAAAGCCAGAAAGAGATATGATGAGAAAAGAAAACTGCAGGCAAATATCTTCCTGATGAACAATAGATGCAAAAAAACCTCAACCAAATACTAATAAACCAAATTCAACAGCACGTTAAAAGGATCATTTGCCATGGACAAGTGGGATTTATCTGAATGATGTAAGGATGTTTCAACACATGCAAATCTATAAACATGATACACCTGATTAACAGAATGAAGGACAAAAATGATATGGTCATCTCAAGATTTTTTTAAAAAAAAAATCATTTGACAAAACAAAACAGCCTGTCATGATAAAAAACTCTGAATAAATTAAGTCTAGAAGAATATATATGAACACATTTAAGATCATATATGACAACCCCACAGTTAACATCATACTCAATCATGAAAAAGTATCTTTCCTTCTAAGATCAGGAATAAGATAAGGATGCTCATTTGCACCACTTCTATTCATTGTGGAACTATAAATCCCAGCTGGAGCCATTTAGCAAGAGAAAAATAAAAGGCATTCAAATTACAAAGGAAAATGTTAAATTGTCTCTGTTTGGAGATGACATAATCTAATATACAGAAAACCCTGAAGACTCCACAAAAAAATTGTCAGAATTAATAAATGAATTCAGTAAGGTGGAAGAATATAAAATAAAAAAAATGTACAGAAATCTGTAATGTTTCTATACTAACAGTGCACTATCCAAAAATAAAGAAAATAGCTACAAAAATAATAAAAATACTTAGAAGTTAATTTATTAAATATCTGTTCATTGAAACTATAAAATGTTGATAAAAGAAACTGAAGACAGAAATAAATGGAAAATAATCCCATGTCCATGAATTAGAATATTGTTAAAAATGTGCATACTACCCAAATTGACCTACACATTCAATGCAATCCCTATCAAATTCTAATGGCATTTTTCACAAAAACAGAGAAAATATTAAAATGTATATATATATATATAACTACAAAAGACTCTGAATAGCCAAAGCAATCTTAAGCAAAAAGAACAAACTGGAGGCATCATACTATCTAATTTCAAAATTTACTACAAAAGTATAGTAATCAAAACAATATGGTATTGGTTTAAAAACAGTCACATGATAATGCAAGAGAATAGAGCAAGCACCCAGAAATAAATCCACACATTTATAGTCAATTGCCTTTCAGCAATGATGCCAAGAACACATGACAGGGAAAGAATGAATAAACAGTGTTGGGAAAATTAAATATTCACATGCAGAAAACTAAAACAGACCTTCATCTCAGATCATTTTAAAAAATCAACTCAAAATGGGTTGAAGATTTACATGTAAGACCTGAAATGTAAAACAACTAGGAAAAAACACAGGGAAAAGCTCCATCACCTGGTGTGGGCAATGACTTTTTTTTGTAAGAACCTAAACATACAAGCAACAAAAGCAAAAATAGGCAAATGAGACTACTTCAAACTAAAAAACTTCTGCAGGGATAATATAACAAAAGAGTTTAAAAAAAAAAAAACAGAATGGAAGAAACTGTTTGCAAAACAAACATTAATAATGAGTTAATATCTAAAACACATAAGGAACTCAAACAATTCAATATTATAAAACATAATTCCATTAAAAATAATTAAAGAATTTGAATAGACATTTTTCAAAAGAAGATATATAAATGTCCAAGAAAAATCAAAATATGCTCTGAATGAGTAAATTATTAGAGAATTGCGAATTAAACCCACAATGAGGTATCACCTCACACTATCAGAATGGCTACTATTAAAAAGATGACATATAAAAAGTGTTTGAGAAGATGTAGACAAAGGGGAACCCTCAGGCTCTGTTGCTCAGAGTGTAAATTAGTACTGTCATTATGGAAAATAGTATGGAGGTTCCTCAAAATATTAAAATTAGAACTACCATATGATCTAGCAAACCCTTCATTGGGTGTGTATCCAAAGGAACTGAATTCAGTTTGTAAAACAGGTAACTGCACTCTTGTGTTCCCTTGAAACATTACCCACAATAGCTAAAGTATGAAATCAATTTAAATGTCCATCAATGGATGAATAGAAAAAGAAAATTTTGTATATATTCACAATAGAATACCATCAATCTTTCAAAAGATGGAATTTCTGTCATTTGTGACAACAGGTTGAATCTGGAGGATACTATCCTAATGAAGTAAACTAAGCACAGAAAGACAAATTCTGCAAAGATTCACTTACTTATGGAATGTAACAAACTTGAACTTATAGAAGTAGAGAGTAGAATGAGAGTTAGCCGGAGCCAGATGGGAACTGAATTAGGGAGATATTGGTCAAAGGATACAAAATTTCAGTTAGATAGGAAGAATAAGCCTAAGAGATCAACTGTATAACATGCTGACTGAGAATACTTTGTATCCTTGAAAATTAATAAAATAACAGATTTTAAGTGTTATCACAAAAATTATAAGCCTGTATGGTAATATGTATGATAATTGGCTCTATTTAATCATTTCATAATGTATATATCTTTTAAAACAATATATTATTCAGGATAAATATATACGATTTTTGTCTATTAAAAAATTTTTAAGGGCTAGAGTTGTAGCACAGTGGTAGAGCGCTTGCCTAGCATGTGTGAGGCACTGGATTCAATCCTCAGCACCACATAAAAATAAGTAAAATAAAGGTCCATCAACAACTAAAAAAAATTTTTTTAATTTTTTTTAATTGAGATATGCTTAAGGTCTATCAAAAGGCTAAAAATGGACTGTGAACCAAGACTGACTCCCAGAGCCCTTATTCTTAACTATAACACCATGCTACCTGTTTTATTAGCAATATATATATATTTTTCCAACCCAATAAATGTATGCCTACCCAAGCTTTTTAATGATTGCACAGCATTCCATTAATGGTTTACAAATCTACATAAAAAGAACCTACAAACAATGTACATTTAGATTATTTCTAGTTTATTTCATTATTAAAAATTATTATGCTATGAAATACATCCTTCCTCTAAAACCTTCCCTTCCTTTCTCCAAAATCTACCTAAAATCAAGAAGTTTTTCCTTAACTGCTCTAGCCTACATTATTCCTTCTCGCCTATGAACACCTACGGCCCCTTAGTTTGGCCCAAGCTGTCTATAAAAAAATCATTTAAGGGAGATTTTAAAAGGCAGTTTTCCAGCGCTTCAATGCAGATTAGGATAATCTGAATTTCTAGGATTAGAGCACAAAAGGTCAGTATTGTTTGAAAGTCTTCACAAATTATTAGTCTTTACAATCTGTTTTTGGAATAATTAATGCATACCACAGAGTTTGAAACTATAATTATGTTTAAATAAAAAGTATATGTGTCATCTAGAACTTCTTTTAGGGAACCAAGGAACACTTATTAAACAGGAATAAATTTAACCATAATAATCATAATAGTTGCATGTTTATCTGAAGACCTCCCATGAAATATTAAATGTGCATGTCCTATGTCAAATTGTACATATGAAGGTCTCAATTTTGAAACAAATTATTTCAAAAGCAATTGAAATATTTTGACACAGATATGCAGCAGCATTTTTAATATATGATACCATCATAGAAGGGGCAAACGTTGCAAAGAAATTGATGGACATAAGCTTAAGTTTATTCAGATAGGCACCAACTGGGCTGGGGTTGTAGCTCAGTGGTAGAGCACTTGCCTAGCACATGTGAAAAACTGGTTTCTATCTATCCTCAGCACCACATAAAAGTAAATAAATAGAGGTATTGTGTCTATGACTAAAATATGTGTGTGTGTGTGTATATATATATATATATATTTTTTTTTTTTTAAATGGGCAGCAAATAAAAAGCCTTATTTTTATTTAGAAAAAAATAGAAGAGTAAACCTAAATATAGTTCACTAACCTGTTTATTGTTCTCTGCCATGGAAAGCTGCAATGCCAAGAGCATGGAGTCTGCGCCACACAGAGTAGTTCTTTCAGAATCACAAAGAACATGCCAGTTCCTTCTAAATGCTTTAATCATGTCCAAGACAGACTTCTGATTAAGCACAGCCATTCCCTTAAAGTAGGACAGAATACAATGTTAAAGTGCCTTATTTTAATTGGAAATTAACATTTAACATGTGTAAGCAAGCACAATTAGAAGGGGGAGGGTAGTAAATGAGAGATTATTTCATATTTACCAAGATTGTTGTTAATTAAATTCAGGAAAACAGAATAATACAATTTCTGCTCAATCATATTTTCCTCTACTTTAGTTTTCTTAAGCCAAATCTTTTGAAATAACAAAATTCAACCTTCAATTCTGAAAATTCACAAAAAAAACATGAATTCTGCAGACTTATAATTAAAGACGCAGACATAACTAATTAAAGCTGTATTTTTAAAATATTTATTTTGAGATAGATGGTAGTTTAAGGGGAGGGGGAGCCAATTTCCTCCCATCTCTATATTGTTCCAAAAGTGGTGGTCTATTTTTTCAACCCTTTGAATCTGGGTCAGTCTTGTGACTTAATTTTACCAATAGCATGTGATGAGAATGACATATGGGAATTCGAAGACAAGGCCTTAGGAAGTACAGAAGAGTTAATGCATCAAGAATGACTGCTAACATTGGCAGCTAGATTCTGGGAACTTAGATTTCAGGAGGGTTTCCAATAAAAGTAGTTCACTGTGCTAAACTATTTGTACAAATAATATAGTTTATGCCGAACATTTGGTCTCCTTCTGAGTCTGGAATTCAGACAGAGCACACCTATGTGCTCAGCCCCCAATTAAAAAACAAAACAACAAAACAATAACAAAAAAAAAAAACCTGGCACTAAGTCTCTAATAAGTCTTCCCCAGTAGACACATTTCATGTGTGTTGTCACCTGTTTCTGGTTGATTCCTGTGTGACTCTACGAGAAGAGGACCTTTAGAAGCTTATACCTGGTCTCCCTGGACTTTGCCCCATATTCCTTTTTCCTTTGCACTGTTGTTTTGTATCCTTTTGCTGTAATAAATTATATCCATGACTACGACTATATGCTGAGTACTCCGAATCCTCCTAACAAATCATCCATTCTGGGTCTTGAGGACCTCCCAACACAAGGCCTTCAACTCTCACTATATTGTGGCCCTGAGACTGCTGTATTAAAAAGTTCATGCTAGCCTCCTGAAATGGACACATGAAAGAGAACCACAGCACTCCATGTGAAACTTACACCAACTCACAGGTGAATGAGGGAGGTGTCCTTACACTACCTAGCCTCAGTCAACCTGCCAGATGAATGTCAGCAACATGAGTGATCTCAGGCAAGACCAGCAGGAGAATGACCTAGCTGAGTATAGTACCAAACTGCTGACCTACAGAACCATTAAAAAAAAGGTTGTTATTTTACAGTCACAAATTTTGAGGTGGTATGTTGCCACAGCAATAGACAACCAATGAAAGAGCTAACATTTAGGAATTATGTGGTGTCAGATACTTTTCAAAAGTTTAATATTGATTACCCCACTCAACTCCTAAAAGTACCATATCAAGGTAAAGCCTATTATTATCCTCATTTCACACCTGAAGAAAATAATGCACATGTCACTTAGCTAGTAAATGGTCAAACAGGCATAAATATAGATTTCTAAGTCCATAAGCTGGACTCTTAAATCACTATATTTCATAACTTCTTCTCATGCTGACAAAAGCCCTTCAAAATAACCTGATGTCGTGCCAATGTTTTATATACACAAGGCAGCCAATTCCTTTCTCTGAGTTTACAAATATGCCTGCTAAGTTTTTTTCCCATTTTCTTTTAACTACCCAAGTCTCCAACACAATCTTCACATGTGGTATTTTCCATACACATCCTATTTACTGACTCCTCTGTTATCCTTTTGTTCTTATGAAGCATAAACAGAATCCCAGATGTTTACTAGGTACCTAAGGCTTGTACAATGAAGAAAAAGGGCATATGCCATCTGCAAAATAATAATTTAAATTACAGACATAATCTGTGATACTATTTAAAAACACAGGTAGCAGACCACACATAGCTAAGTTATATTTCTATTCAAAATATCACCTCCATCTCTTAAAAAGAAGAATATGAAGAAGTAAGTAAAGCATCAGCAGCAGTGATATTATCAGTTTACTTGAAATAAAATTTCAGCAGATTCCTTACTGGTATTTTTTTTAAAGATACTATGAGTTGAGATTCCTGTAAGTGAAAACTCATCTAGAATTAGATCATTCTGAATCCTGGCTCCACCCACTTACTAGTTATGGGATCTTGGCCAACTTATATCACTTGTCCTGCCTCAGTTTCCTTGAACTGAAAGTAAAAATAGTTCCTATGTTGTAGGGTTTTGTGAGAGCAATGAGAAAATGACATAAATACACACAAAGCTTTTGGAACAGTGCCTGGCACATAAAAAAGCACATAACCTATTATCACACATTATGAGATTCTAAGTCATTTTTGCTTGTTTTTGTTTTTGGTACTGGGGATTGAAACCAGGGGAACTTTACACTGAGCTCCATTTCCAGTACTTGAACTTGCAATCTTCCTGCCTCAGCCTCTGGAACTGCTGGGATGATAGGCATGTGCCACCCTGCCTGGCTGTAGGTTATTTTGAGTTAAAATTGAAACAACATTACATCGGGCACAGTGGTATACACCTGCAATCCCAGAAACTCCTGAGGCTAAGGTAGAAGGATTGCAAGTTCAAGCCAGCCTCCACAAATTTAGCAAGTCTCTGTCGCAAAATGAGGATAAGAGCTGGAAGCACCACTGGGCTAAATTCTCAGTTCCAAAACACCAAAAGAGAGAAGAAGGATAAGAAGAAGGGGGGAAAAACACTAATGGTGACAGAACACCAACCAAGAGTCTCATCTAGGGGTCAGCAAATTTTTTGGAGAGAACAAATAGTAAACATTTAAGACATGCAGGCCATATCATCTGTGTCATAACTACTTTACCTTATAGTATGAAAATAGTCGTGGACAAAATATAAACAAATGAGCAGAGCTGTGATCCAATAAAATTTTATTTGTGGACACTGAAATTTGTGTTTTCATATAATTTGCACATATCACAAAATATTCATTTTTTTTCTCCCAACTATTTAAACATGTAAAGTCCACTCTTAGTTCAGAAGCCAACTGTACAAGAACAGGAAGTGCAAATGGTTTGCCAACCTCTGATCTAGTTCCTGTTCTTCTAGTAGCTCTTCCAGTGGCTGTGTGAACCTAGTTAATAAGCTTTACACCTGGCTGCCCAGTAGAGGTATCAGAACACTGAAAATCTAATTTTTCAACTTACCTTCCAGCCAGTTGTCAATGAGAGGAGTCAATGAGAGACTTTATGTGCAAGCACTTCGCAGGCTACACTGTACAAAAAGAGCCTTAGAATGTGGCCTTAGAAATAAACACTTGTTTTTAAAAAGTCTACTCCAAGGTGCACTGAAGCAAAAAAAAAAAAAATATATATATATAGATAGATAGATAGATAGATATAGATATATATAGATATATATACATGAAACAGAAAATTCTCACTGGGAGGCAAAGTGAGATGGTTGATAGAAATATACTTTGGATTCAGATACAGCAGAATTCACACCCAGACCCCTTATTGGTTAGTTCTACGCTTTGGGGTATTTAAAATCTCTTATGAGCATCTGCAGAAAGGGTAAGATAATTTCTACCTAATAAAATGATTAGGCATTAATGAAAAAATTATACAACCCACTTAATGCTGAGCATTTAGTAGGTACTACTAAATAAAAATGGCAGTTGATGCTGTTATTATCAGAAGGCAGGTCCTAAATGTTCCTTGGGTGCAAATAATAACAAAGGAAGAGGGGAATTGTGGAATTGGAGTCCGCCTACATCCTAGAACTAGAATCCTGATTTCCTGCCTTTCTAATGGACTTTAAGCAAGCCTCCATGAACCTCAATCTTCCAATCTGCAGGATCCCTCGGGATATTTCAGCTCCAGCACAAAATACTGTGAACTCTGTCCAATGCGTGTTGACCCAATAGTCTTTAGAGAAAGCCACTACACAAAACCCCAGGTGGTCACTTAGCACTGTGCTATCACCGAAACGCTCAGACAAGCCGCATTTTGAATCGTCACGCAAAGTAGGAATGGCGGCAAGGAGAAAGCGAGACTCACTTAGCTCAGAGAAGACCCCGGAGGTGCAAATCTCAGGGAGGTAAGGCCCCTCACCACTACAGATGCAGCGCTGCTCAAGTAGTTGCTGGTTACATTTCAAATATCGCGGGAGGGCTCGGGAACCAATCGCTGCGCTCGCCCTTCGACCCGGAAGCAGAGGCACGCGCGCCGCTGCAGCCCGCAGCTGAGACCAGCTCCCTCCAGGTCGCTTCCCCGCCTTCTCCGGTGCGTAGCGCGCGGGCGATCCAGGGGGCCTCGCCGGTCGCTTCGGGTCCCCCCGGGCTCCAACCCTGTCCCCCAGGAGCTCTTCCCTTTGATCTCGGGCTCAGGGAGGCGGGTTGTCACGGGACACACCTGGCTCTGGGAGAGGCTTGGGAGTTATCTTGTTCCTTCCCTCTTCATCTGCCCTTCCACTCTGTGACTTGAGTGGGCAAGTCCCAGCTCTCGGGTACAGTGAAGCCCTGTGAGTGTTGGCACCAGGCTTTCAAGAGCAATAGGTGAGGTACCGAGTCTCGACCTCCAAACTCTGGCACTAGCATCTCTCTCTGCATTGGAGGACTTCTCACCTGCTGGTTACCCTTAACACGTGTCCAGTCCTGGATCCGCATTCATTAAGGTTATTAGTATATAAGCTCCCTGAGGGGTAAGACTTATCTCATTCTCAGTACAGACTCAGACACTTGTTTTTTCTTTTGTTTTTTAAATTTTTTTTAGTTGTAGATGGACACAATGCCATTATTATTATTATTATTATTATTATTATTATTATTATTAGCGTAGTGCGGGGGGGGGGGGGTGGGGGGGGGATGGAACCCAGTGCCTCACGCATGCTAAAGCACTGTACCACTGAGCCACAACCCTGGCCCCCAGATATTTGTTTTCATTGCCGAGTCCAGCTGTTTTCAGAACAGTTCTTTGTGTGTGTGTGAGTGTGTGTTATAGATGGACATAATACTTTTATTTTTATGTGGTGCTGAGGATCAAACCCAGTGTCTCATACGTGCTAGGCAAGTGCTCTGCCACTGAGCTGCAACTCCAGCTCTTTTGTCTTATGTTTTCTAAAAAATATATATTTTAGGTCTTTAAACTTCATAATTCTCATGCGGGAATGATGTTTTCAGAGTGCACTCTAAGCCTTGACAGGTTAGTTGAGGTTTTGTGCCCAGTTTTGTAAATCAGTCACACATGTTGGCCCTCTAGATCCTCTAGGATCTGTATTTTATATCAGCTTATATTATGGCACTTTTCACACCTAGTCATAACTATCCTTGTTGGTGATTTCCTTCAAGGAAAGAGGCCATCTTTTGTTTGTTTGTTTTGTTTCCTCTAGCACCACTGCCCAACACAATAAAATCTTTCAAGTCCTGGCTTTTGTTTATGAGCTTAACAAATTAACCACCTAAAGCCTCCATGCCTTGGTTTTTAAAATGGGATCAACAGGTATTACCTGTTTTTAGGTTAGTGCGAATATTAGGGGTATGCCAGTAAAATGCTAAACAGGTACCTACAAATACTGTTTCATAAATTTGAACTATTATTAATTTCTTATGAATATACTTTCTTTTAAGATGATTCCTTTTTTTTTGATCCAACCCAGGGCCTTGTGCATATGAGATAAGCACTCTACCAACTGAGCTATGTCCCCAAGCCATAAGATGATTCCTTCTTTAAGTACTCAGTGTATCTTTAATTAATTAGACACAATTTTATGATGTTATATACGTGGGTATCATGAATGTGGTGAAGAGGAAAGCTGTAGAACAGTGCTTAATTATAAATAGTTAAAGTGAGGGGTTTTTTCCCTGTATCTTCTGTCCCTTTATAAGTACTCTAAATGCTTTTGGGGATCTGCCTTTGACAATTCAATACCAAACCTTATTTTGAATCATCTGTTAAATGACCAACACTGACCACTTCTAATTATGTCTGTGCTATAATCCACAGTTTCGCGACATTGTGCAGTAGAAATCTATTCTATTTCTACAACTGCTCCAGTTTTGACATACAAGATGAAGCAAGATCCCACAAGAAATGCTGCCTACACTGTGGATTGCGACGATTATGTACATGTGGTAGAATTTAATCCCTTTGACAGTGGGGATTCAGGAAATCTAATTGCATATGGTGGCAATAATTATGTGGTTATTGGCACATGTACATTTCAGGTTAGTGCACAAACTACAGTGAATGATAGTGAAAATATTTCACTGATAAGAAATTTATACAAAGTTAAACTTTGGAAGTATATTGAATTTTAGTCCAAAAAAAATGATATGAAGACCCACAGAGAAGGATATTCCCAGTAATATATGCTTGAGATTTGTGCAAACATTATATAAATGAAAACATAGAGTATGAAGTTCCTTTTTTGCCTATGATTAGAAATGAAATATTGTGGTAATTAAAGGCTATGAGTAACTGAATATTGGTATGTACAGAAAAAATTCAAATCCAGTTAATTACAGTTTTTCTATATTCTGCTTTTACATAGGAAATAAGGTCATATTGAGAGCTTAAAAAGTCTTCCAGGAGAATTTACAACTTTCATGATATTCAGTTTTCCTATTAATTTGTTCTCACTTTTTACATTTAAAATATACATCTAAAGTATATGAGATATGGGATCGTATTTAAGTGAGCAGGCGGGTCAGCATAGCCCTTAAAGAGCATAAATTCTGGAGCCAAAATACCTGGGTATTTTACTTCTGCTTGGCTGTACCTCTGAACAACTGCACAGTTTTGAGCAAGTACTTAGCCTCTCCTATAATCATTAGAATATAATGCTCAAAAGGACTTTTTGAGGATATGATGAGTTAGTGTGTATAAAATTTCTAGATGCCATCTGGCACATTGTAATCTGTGTATGTTTTAATTATCATTGATAATGGTAGTTGTGATAGTTGTAGCCCCATATTTAACACCAAAGTAAGATTGCTTTGTGGTGAGCACACACAGTGTTTTCTTACGGGAAAGCTACTGTATGTAAGAGCCTAAAAAATTGAAGCTTTAGCCATCTGGAATCTATGGCTAATCCTTTGTTGATCGGGATATTATTCACAGAACTATATTTCTCAAATTAGAATTAATCAATGAGGTAGTTTGGCAGTCCCCAATTTTCAAAGGTTTAAAATAACTATTATTAAAGTGATGTTATAAACATTATTTCCTCTTTCACTTAAGAGACAAGTTTCATATCTTGAACAGTTTTGACATCAGAATGCAATTTAGCACTTTATAGTACAATAAATGTGTAAAGTTATACAAAATTAGGATGCATTCATATTTATCCTAAAGGGATGTATATATTTAAGGTTTTAGTTGTTATTTGAGTAAAACATGAGAACTCTTAGGCTACCCCACATTGTCTTATTAGGTAGGGGTAGGAGTTTGTAACTTTTAGGTTACATATGCCCCTTGACCTAATTTCAGATGGAATGCTGGATTAAGATGATAAAAAGTCATATAATTAGATAATGTAACATACTTTTGAAAAAGACCAAGGAGAAATAATTTCTCTCATGTAGTCCACTAATAGAATAAAACAGCCCCCTACAGGTGAAACAAACTTCCTGCTTCATTATTTTAACATTAGTAAATGTAAACACAGACTTTGAAAAATGTTTATCTCTAGCTTATGATCAGTTAAAACATGTTGTGGGAGAAAGTCAAGAAGGGAGAACAAATTAGGAAAAAGGAAAGACAGAGATAATGGGTAGAAGTGGGTAAAATGACTCAGTGAGAAAAGAGAACAAGTGAAAGCATTTGTATTATTCCATTATGGTTTATAATGACATGCATTGTCTTGAATGATTCTCAGACCTGGGAGTTGGCAATGTAGATCTTATCTCCAAATTACCTAGGGAAAAATTAGATTTTGTATTATTTTAGCATATAGTGATCACATATTCTAAGCCAGGCATTACAAATGCAATTAAACAAACCAGTTCCTTTTCTTTTAGAATTTATAGTCTGCTTCAGAAAAGTTCAGGGATTTGCATGATTAGGAAATGAAAAAAATAGGATCTAGACCCTATTCTTATACTTTTTTTTCTTTTCCTGTGCTTCTGTTCAGGAAGGTAGATAAAACAGTTCTGAAAGAGAATTGAGTTCCATTAGTTTGGCCTTGAGGATTCAGAATAAATTAATGTCTTTGAAGTTATTTTTTTTATCTTGTTAAATCTACTAAACATTCCTAGTCTCTCATCCTAGAACCTTCAGGTTTAATAGCACTCAAATTTCATGCCTCTTGTCTTTTTTTTAGTTGCTCAAGACAATATAATGATCCTGATCATATATTTGATTCAAATGGGGTATGAACTCTTAAGAGAAAACTATGCAAAGAATGTTGCATTGAGAGATTTTGACATTCCTATCAGAAAGGCAATTCTTATTATAAGACTATTTGGAAAATACTGATTTTTTAATTTCAGTGGAACAGTTTTCAGAACCTAAAGCTGTCATTTTGAGTATGATAGAAATGTGAGTGGAATGATATAGTACTATTGACTGGTGTCATGCAATTGTCAAATATTCATGAAGTGCATAGTAGTTGCCAGGAAAATACAAAAGCAAAGACCCTGCCCTCAAGGAGATATGTAAATATAAAACAGTGCAATAGAAGCCCTATGTATAAAGGACAAAAGAAGCATGAAAGTTTCTAAGTCTATTCATAGAGTCTTCATTAATGAATTAAGGTATCTAGTTGGACTTGAATGAGAACATTGATTTAGGCAAGCACATTGTTTTTATGTGGCACATGAAGCTGAGAAGGATACCTTAATGCTGTGGATAATAGACTTCATTTATTGAGCACCTGTTATATGTCAGGTTGTGTTTAGATCCAAATGTTATTTAATAGATTGGATCTATGGGCCCAGTTGAGCAAGATAAAATTGAATATAAAGTCTTAAAATGATAGACTGTTAGATCTGAAAGGGAGAATTGTGAATTAAGAGTTTTTAGTCATCTGTGTATTCACCATGAATCAGTGCAATGAGTAAACTGTCAAAGGGAGCTAATTCAGTACTATCCAGTAGGAATATAATATGAGCACAAATATCAATTTAAATATTGTAGTCATCTAAAAACTTCAAAAACAGGTGAAATT